CTGTCTTCTACAGATGAAAACTGTCAATGTAAATACATGTGCAAGTGGCTTACGGATCTCTGTTATCTGGCGGATTGTAGAATGCCTCAATAGCAGCTAGTAGGCGATTCGTCGGCGGTCTGGGCTTAGGCAAACGTAACTGTTTGGTATCCAGGGGAAGGTAGCTATTATGTGCCAGCTGAAGTAGGACAGAAACAAACCCAAAACGAGTGTGAATTCCATCACATCCTATCAATGCTCTAGAGCAATACAGCAATGATGAGCCAGCAGCAGCAGGAGCAGATATTCAGCAGCAGCAGATACTCAGAGCAATATACAGGCTAGAGTATTGTGTACCTGGCAACACATGCATACTCATATAATACCTACTGTGCCTCTACAACTGCTGTCATTGCTACTCGTGTGAGCAGTATAAGTGCTATAAAGGACCACAGAGCTGGAAAACACACACACGCGCGCACCCCCCCCCCCCCCCCACACACACACACACAAGCAGCTACGCAAAACCCACCTTGACTAACGGCACCATGAGTCCTGCAGGCAGTTCATGGTAAGGAACTTGCGGCACTTCTCCATTCTCTATTGCCTGGAACTCATACGGATATTGATCATAAGGTAAGATCAGATCTTCAACCGGCACAGGTGCTGGTGCTGGTTGATACGGAGCAGCAGCAGCAGCAGCAGCTGGTGGTGGTACACCTGCAGCTGCAGTAGGTAATGTGTCTGATGGTGCTGCTGGCTGTACAGCAGACGCTGGAGGCTGCAGATGCTGCGCGTGGTGTGCTGCCGCCTGATGCTGTGACGGTGGAGGCTGCTGACGCTCTCCGTGAAAGCCAGAGTCAAAGTAGGAGTCGGATTGCTGCGATGACCTAGCTGGGGGTGGATGACCGTGATCAAAATATGATCCAGCAGTGCCTGCAGGAGGCGGAGGGCCTCTTCCAAACCTGTCATCGGCAGGATGTCCACCATCATACGGAGGAGGCTGTCGATAGTCGTCATGAAATCGTGAGCCACGATCAGCCGCTGGTGGTGGATAGTCATCAGCATGTGTACCAGGACCATGGTTGAAATACTGTCCAGGGGGACCATGAGTAGATGCTGGACCATGGTCACCGGAACCCCCAGCTGACGGTGGGTAGTGCCGAGATCCATGGTGGTGGTAGTCATCGTGTGGATGGCCCCCACCACTACCACTACCGCCACCGCCTTGGTATGGCGCCTGGTGTCGATGGTAGGGGTCTGCATGGTGTGACGAGGGCATGTTATGCTGCTGCTGTTGCTGGTGGTGATGGTGATGATGATGATGTTGGTGATAATGGTCATCAGGCGGCCCGTGTCTGCCATCACTGCCACCACCACGTTCATGGTGATACGGATCTGTGTAAGATGAAGCCGCCGCACTGCTGCCAGCGACGGTGGCTGAACTTGCCGACTGCTGATGAGTATCGCCATGATGCCAATTACCTTGCTGATCAGGGTGACCTTGAAAGCCAGTGTGTTGCTGCTGCTGAGATTGAGAACCTGCTGGGTTAGTTGCGGTGCTAGCGGAATGTGTGTGCGCACCATCACCTGGTTGCTGTGCCTGGAAGTGACGCTTTTCATCACCACCCACAGTCTCCTGGCTAGCTGCTGCAAGCTCACGGCTGTTGGATACTTCCGACTGTTGCTGCTGCTGTTCATCTCCTTGGGTATCTTGTTGCTGCTCAGGATGTCCGGGTTGTGCTTCTGAACTTGCATCAGGCTGTGCTTGCTGCTGCTGTTTGAATTCTAGATGTTGTTTGGCCAGTTCAGAGAATGAAGGTGTACCAGCTGGCACAGGGCTGGGGTGTGAGTAGTCCACTGCAACAAGAAGAAACAAAGCAAGAACAACACATAATTATAACTATCATGCATCATGCTTTTAAAAACGACCTATCTGATACACTTCTATTCCGGACACATCTCAAAGATACAAACGACAAGCCAGAAATCACCCCAATATGAATAATATGAATAATATGAAAGGGCATCGGAAAGTATTTTAGGGTGGTACGGTCAACCATCTCAAGTACTTGAAGTACTTGTCCGAGGACCTCTCCGGAAAAGTCTCGAAATTTAGAGCCCAAATCATTACATTTATTGATACGTGGGGAGCCCGAGGCAAAAAGTGGCACGGCCTATGCCGTAGTGAGTCTAGTGACCGTAGCGTGTCCGACACCCCTGGTACTGGATATTCCCTCGGTCTTCCGCATTTTGGTGTCAGTTGTTGTGCGCTTGATGAAAGTATGTCACAGCAGTAGCAGTAGTAGCAGCAACACCACAACATGTATACAGCATTAGAAGAAGAGTGAGACGTCGATGTGTGGGAGTGTGTTGGCTGGCTTTGATTCGAGATTCGAACGTCAGCGAAGAAAAGGTTGCAACGTGAGAAAGGGAGAAGAATTTCAATTATTGCATGATCCATGATCACTGACTTTTTCCAGCTACGGGTGGGCTCGCTCAAGTTCTACTCCCCCCCCCCCCCCCCCCCCTAACCACATGTGTTGTTGCTCACTCTCACTTACATGTCTGTGTACACATCTGGGTAATACGCTCCACCTGCACAGAAGCATAATCGTATACAGCACAAGGAAATGGCATTACATCAGGGTACCTCAACTCTCCAAATACGGTCTCTTCGCTGCACGTCACTTCAAAAAAAAAAAACGTTGAATGTTTTCACCCTGAGGATGGGCCATGCCCGAACATTTGGTGAATTCAATTATTTATTGGAGTGACGTGCAACGAAAGACTGTACTTGGAGAGTTGAGGTACCCTAATGTATGAGTGGCTGCACTGGAGTCTGCGAGTGCTTAGAGAAATGACATTACCGAGAAAATATTCTCAACAACTCCCAGATGCACAGCATTGCATAGAAAAGTGCATGACACACAACCTGGAACACTGTACGTGAAACATTGATATGGCATCAATCCGAGCAGGGAGAACCTTTACGCCGCAATATTTACCGATGCCAATTGCTGAGACACTGCCAGGAGAAACTCAACTTACATGATGTGCTCTGTCCAAAGGTGCATCCCCCAAGCAAGAGCCATACAGTGTATGGCTTTTGTTTGGGGATATGTCTTAAAAGTCTTATAATAAAACTCTGTGCAAAGATGGATACCACAACGGAAGCCGAATAACTTGAATACTCACATCATCAGGCTTTTGATTCACAACAGTTTTCAGCATCTGTAAGTGAGCAAAAGAGCAGACATCGAGACAAGTAAGAGAACGGATACCACTACTCCGGTCCCAGTCCACACAGACATGCTGACAATACATTATAGTGATGATGATGATGATGATGATGATGATGATGATGATGATGATGATGATGATGAAGCCACTTCTTTGGGCAAACAAAACACAATTTCCCAAGATGAAAGAGTGGAACCCTACACAAATAATAGTTTAAATGAATCCAACGCAAAGATCGTTTTTCCATGAAATACAACAATTGAACACAATTACATGCTTAAAGGCATGAAAGCAACAAAACAGCAACAAAAAGGGTAAGCGCCATACCAATCCCGCATGCACAGTCAGGACACAGCGCGATACTTAACAAACTAGACCTGACTCGGCCACGGCAATCGAGACATCATGAAAACATCTCGCCGGATGGTGGTACCGTGACCGAGCCCCACGTATGCACAACACAGCAGCACGCAGCAAAGCAAAAGACAGCCGACAGCGGAGTAAACCAATGACCTGGGAATAGTGAGATCCCGATGACTCGGCCTGCATCTGGCACAGTCTCTTGAGGAACACATTGCACAGCCTCCCACAACCACCATGCACAGAGAACACGAGAGGTGTGAAAGCGGCTCTTTCTACATTTGTGACTCTTGGCCCATATTCGTTCCACTTACGCCGCTCGTGCTGCTGGTACAATGCAGGGAGGGTTCTGGACCCGTAGGAAGGAGCATCTGGGCAAAATACCCTTACATCAAAAAAAGCTTCCTCCCCACGGGTCCAAAACCCTCGAGCGGCTATGTCCAGACGCGCATCCTCTCGGCGGTTCGTTGACCGAAGAGGAAACCTCTCACCAGAAAGAGGTTGCAGCGCTGGTTCTGTCGAAACGGCAGTGCAGACTTCAGTCAATTCCCTCGCCAGCAGGTCACGTATCTCGTTATGACGAAGTGTCGGGAAGCCGCCCCTGGCGCAACATAGCTGATGCTCAACTGAGAACAGCTCACCACACACACAGGTTGCTGGTGTATTGGCTAGCGGCCATGCATATCTCAATGCCAGAGCATCCCGGAAGTCACGCTTGGTGAGACGAAAGCCATGCTCCGCCAGGGGCAGCACGCTCAGCCATGAGGATGATCCTTTCTCCGTGTGTTCTTCTATTCGTCGCTTCGTCATCTCATCGCTCGTGTCCACTATTTTGTTCCTGGCTGCCTTTGCGCGCTCCCGGTTTTCGGTGTGGACGACACGCTTTTTGTGACGCATTTCATCGATCATCCTCTGAAAGGGGGTACCAGCACCAGCAACATCAGCAGCCACATCCGGTCCAGGGTTTGAGTTGCCAGCGACCTCCCGCGGCTGCACCTCCGTTGCCGTCATCGTGGGAGTGGGAGACGCTCCACCACGGTCAGCAGTATCTGCAGAAGCCGGCACATCTCCAGCGAGAGAAATTGGATCGCTATCCTTAGCGAAATCGCCCAGAACCTCCTTCACCATAGGTCCGGACACTTGCTTGGAGCCCTGGTGCTCAAACCGTGGTCGAGTCGTGAGGTCCGGAAGGGCCATCCCACCATCCCGTGTCGGGAGCTTTAGAATATCAATGTCTTTCAGAGGCACGCTCGGTTGTCCCACGAGCTCCGGTAGAAGTGAGGAGTGAAGCTCCCGCTCCAACGGCGCCAAGTCCTCCGCAGAAACAGCCATAGTTCGAAACACATAGTTCCATCTGTTGACTAAGCCATGGGTCAACGCAGAGTATGCTGCATGCGGCTCTGATGCGGCATAATTTGCTAAAATCTCTGTATGTTTCGCCCACTCTTCTACTTTTGTCTCTTTGAATTCTCCGAGGAATGCCTCAGTCCCGATAGCAGCGCCCAGATACTGTACGCCACGAGACTTGACGTGGATAGTTGTGTCACCAAAAGTCTCGGCAGCCAAGGACTCAAAGCCAGGCTTGACGAGTAGTTGCGTTTTTGTTTCGTTGATGTTGTAGCCGTATTTTTGGCCCTCTTCCTTAAGGAGGTTGTACCACTTTCGCAATGGGGAGAGCCCTCCGGCAGCTGCCGAGTCATCTGCAAACCATCCCTGGCACACATCTGCAACATTGGTTCCGACTGACTTGACGAGAGGGGTGAGAGCCGTGGCATAAATGGCCATCGCAAGAGGGTCACCCTGGGTTGTACCCTCCTGTGACAATAAAGACTGGCCACCACGCACAAAGAGGGATGCAGGGTCTTGGTAAGTATTCAATGTTATTTGTGCTAGCGGGGGGCATACTCGAGCAATATTGTGCAATGCAGCGCGGCGATTCAAGCTATTGAAGGCATTGCGAGCATCGACTAGCAACACTGCCTCAGCCTTTTCCGAAGCAAAGGCAGCCGTCATTGAGTGCACCATAGCCTCCACCCCAGCCGGGATGCCCGTGCAGGCCTGAACTGGTCCGCAGGCTTGCATAATGTCGGGTTTCATCAGAAACAATGCCGCCTTGGAGCACAGTCTACGAAACACTTCACATACCCCTATTGGCCGAACGCCAGGGTTCTTGTTGAGGGCAATGAGTCTGCAAGCTGTGTACGGTGTGAGTGAGCCGGAGGGGACTGAGTCGGTACAGATCAAGCGTGTGAAGCACGCCACTGCCTCACGCAGATCAGTAGATGCACCTTTGTAACATGTGCATAGCCGCCGCCAAGCATCCGCGTCCAGGCCGGAAGGACCCGCAGAACCATGATGATGATGATGATGATGATCATCATCATCATCAAACTGCTCACAAGAGAATGTAGGTATGCAGCAGTCATGCCCAAATACAGCTATTAAAGGAAAGCTAAGGAACAGCATACAATTCCTATCACAAATAGCCTGCATCCACTGGCCTAATAGTTGTACAAACATGAATGGACAAGCATCAGAATGCCACTGCCACAAGCTCCAAGTTTCCTTGGAAAAGTAGTGGGATAGCATCCTGATCACGGGCACCACTGGGACAACTGCATAAGAGGGAGCATCATGATCACGAGCATCAATCATGATCACGAGCATCGCTGGGACAACTGCATAAGAGGGTTTTATTGTCAACGGGCATGATACTCATACTCACGTCGGTGGTGCCCTTTGACACATAGCTATTCTGCTCCCATAGACCAACGACCTACATGTAACATACACAGACACAGCCACACACACACACACACACACACACACGCACAACAAAACACACATACACACACACATATGTGCACATACACGTACATGACGATCGTGTAGACTTACACTATCACACTATGACACAATCACACTATGAAGGTAATACAGCACACAAACACGTACTGTACGTGTAGACACATGCTCACTATGATACATGATACATCATGCACATGTGCGGTTCGCCACATCACACAACCTGTCTCTCCACAATAGAGAGGTTCCGCACTACGTAAAGTTGAGCAACTTTACGTTAGTGGGCGGGGAAAACCCGTGAATTCGCGAGTTTGCACTCCACTTACGGAAAGTTGTCTACGTAGAGTACGTAGATAGGGCTCTGATAACGTAGCTGGTCCGTAAGTGGATTGGGGTACAAATTTATGACTCTCTCCCCAGGTCGATCTGGTCGTACACTGCCGTGTTCGGAGTTGCCCAGGGCAGCTACGTGATTTGAAAACTCCGTATGGCGGAACACAGATGCGCATGCAGTTTACGTAAGACTTTCCGTAGATCGACTACGTTTTTTACTAACGTAATTACGTTATGAACGTAATTACGTTATGCGGAACCTCTCTAATGACTGACTGATGCTGCAGGGCAATCCTGGTGATTGAACAATCTTCCAGTTTGTACCTTCAAACTACTGCCAGTTAATATTTCAACAAGATGTAGTGTGTGTGTGTGTGTGTGTGTGTGTGTGTGTGTGTGTGTGTGTGTGTGTGTGTGTGTGTGTGTGTGTGTGCATGCGTGTGTGTGTAGTGATGCAGTAGCAGTTGTCCCTAGCTAGGGTGTGTGAAGAAGAAAAAAAGCGTGTACCTTGCTCAGTCTCTGGACGTTGTCTGCTTCATCGGAGTAGGTCACACAGAATATGGGAACAATCGCAGTCTCAATGGCCTGCCACCCACACACACACACAGGCACATGGGCACCCACACACATACACACCCACACAGGCACACACAGGCACACACACAGGCACACGTACATACACACATACACACAGGCACATACAGACGCAGACGCACACATACACACACATAATAATTATTTTTTTGTTATTATACAATGTACATGTATGCAGAGACAAGACACAATCATGTCTTTGATGCATTTCTGCAGATGCACATCATGTGTTATGATGTACTAGTATACAATGTAGAGGCAGAACATACTCTATAAGTATAACTAAACTAACTGGTGGTGTTAGTGGACAATATAGCGTAACTTGTAGTTCTTTGGTCCTCATTTCTTCTTTAAATTAATCCTTGGCTCTCTACCTGAGTCTAAGGGCCTGGTCAGACTGCGGCAACTTTTGGTTGCCTGACGAAAAAAGAACAGCGTCCAGAATTTGAATCGCGATCACACTACACATGTGGGGAGAATGAAAATTCAAAATTCAAACTCGAGCGTCAAGTGGTAATCTCCACGAACGACGTCAAATTCCTTCACCTTGGGATCGCCAACACCTTCAGTGCAATCCTTGCAACCATCCTTATGAGTTTTGTTGTTGTCCGTGGCCAATTAGCTGATCGATATCGAGATGAAAAAATCAGTGATTATCAGCGTCAATGGCGTATCAGCGTCAAATCCTGTTTGGAGCGGAAAAGCGTGGCCCGTTCTTGCTTTTTTTTTGGAGCGTCAACTCTCGCTTTTGCCGCTCTGGCGGCAAGTTACTATGGAGATTCGGATTATAATCCTAGGATTATTTCGATTTTGCCGCAGTCTGACCAGGCCCTAACAGAACATAATCCTTTGCACTTGATTTGGCTATAATTCCAAATTCAGCATCACGAGAGAACAAAAATTAGTTCTGAATGAAAATCTAACAAAAATTCATAAACCGAGAAATTGAGAATTGCATAGAACATGAAGTAGATGAGGTGAGAGTGTTCATTTGTTCTTGAGTGAAACAACACTTCAAATGAAAGGATAAATTATGGTCTGGAATGAACTGGTCTTTCTCTACAGTATACTGTAAACCGTGAAATTATTGCCATGGTCTAATTTCTGCGAAATTCGCGACCGCGTGGAAATCGCGAAATTTAGACAGCGCGAAAAGGAGATCCATGAAAGGTTTAGCAAGAATGCCACAGTAGCACAAATAGTAGCGCAATCCAGCGTATTCGTGAAGATTGCCACCAAGAGTTTCCTTGCACCACTACTGTACAAATAACTCGGACCGAAGTTCATTCCTTTCACATCCTTTTGAAGTTTTCCCTTGACGATCGCACTACTGCTTCTCTCTGGTCACTAGTAGTATGTCGCTCCTTCAGTGGATGCAGAAAACTGATGACAGCAGCACTGTGAAGCAGGCTTCATACCTTCCTCCTGCGGCAAGCAGTACCGTCGCTGCAGCAAACTGCGCCGTGGAAAAGGAGCTGGCTACGTTTGAGAAAAAGAAGAGGAAGCGTGGTGATTACCATAGATACACGGATGAGGTGAGAGCTAAGATCGGTCGACACACCACTGAAAGCGGAAACAAATCAGCTGTTCAAAAGTTCTCGAAATCTCTTGGTCATCCTGTGAACGAAAGTACTGTACGACATTGTAAACGCCTGTACCTTGGTGAAGTGAAACTCGTCGGTGATCCTGCCTTGGTAAAGGAGCTTCCACACGTTGCTCGTGGACGTTCTCTTCTGCTGGGCGACATGGACGCGGAGGTGGCATCCTACGTGCGATCGCTGAGGCAAGCTGGCGCTCCAGTCAGCTCCAGAATCATCCTAGCAGCTGCCTCTGGTATTGTAAGGCATAAAGACAAATCGCTGCTGAAAAAACACGGCGGCGGCATTAACCTGACAAGAGAGTGGGCGGACTCTTTCAGGAAGCGTCAAACGCAAGGCCACAAAAACAGCCAGGAAGATACCAGCTGACTTGCCAGATCTGAAGCGTGCGTTTCTGGAGAGAATTGAGAAAGTGGTTGAGGAGCACTCCATCCCTGTGAAGGGCCTAGGGGAGGACACACCAACAACCCACTCTTGTCCGGCTAACCGACAACTAACCCTGAAGGGCTGTCATCCTTGTTATTTTATCTTGGTGTGTAGCACCAAATGATATAGTTCCAATATCATCACAATCCCCAAGAAACTCGTGGTCAATTGGGACCAGACAGGTACCAAGCTAGTCCCAGTGCACTCTTGGACATTAGCAGACAAGGGGTCGAAGCAAGTTGCAGTTGTAGGGAAGGACGACAAACGAGAGGTAACACTCCTGTTGGGAGTCTCTGTTGATGGCTATCTCCTTCCACCTCAGGTAATCTATGCGGGGAAAACTGAAGGCTGCCACGCAAAGGTTACATTTCCTGACGAATGGAACGTCACCCATAGCGCCAGTCATTGGAGCACGGAGGAGACGATGCTTGAGTTTGTGGATAAGGTCATTATCCCCCATGTGAAGTCCACCCGCCAGGAAATGAAACTTGCAGACAACCAGCCAGCACTTGCAATATTCGACGTGTTTGCATCACACCGCAGCCCGTCCGTCCTTGCCAAGCTAACGCAGCACAATATTCATCAGGTGTTCATCCCTGCTGGATGCACCGGCGAGCTGCAGCCTCTTGATCTTTCCGTCAATGATGTATTCAAGTCAAATATGAAGAACAGGTTTGCTGACTGGTATGCAGACTCCATCAAACATGCCCTGGACGCTGGAGAGTCACTTGAGAACGTGAAGGTGGACTTGAAGGTTTCTACAGTCAAGCCCCGACATGCTCATTGGCTTATTTCCGTCCTACAGGAGCTCCGCGGCATGAAGTGTCTCGAGGATGGTTTCTGCAAAGCTGGCATTTTGGACTGCTTCAAGTAATCCTTGCAATGCTTATGTAATCCTGGAATAGACATCTCATTGTTCATGTCACTGAATAAGCACCACTCAGGTGTTCAAAATATAGCACAGTGTTTTAGTACTTACCTTTAGACCATCCTCTCCTTTGTGAGCTGTCTTTCTTTCAAAATCTCTCCCTCCGGTAGCTTGTTCGGTAGCTTGTCCTTGCTTAGCCTTCTTTGGCTGAAAATCTCTGCTTTAAAATTTTCAAATTCTGCAATCGCAAAATTAAAACCTCGCAAACCTGTCCGGATTCTGAAAACGCGAACTAAAAACGCCGCGAAAATTTCACGCTTTACAGTACCCACTTCTGACATGGTGATTTCCTCTTTCTTCTCCCAGCTAGGGTTACAGTTTTAATGTGCTAAAATAATTACTAGGCTAGATCCCACGTGTTAGGGGTCGTCCGCAATTATCGAAAGTTTTTTCCAATCCGTAGTAGCTTCAAATTTTTCCTCACCCACCCACCCCCCCCCCCCCCCAGTCCGTAATAAAATATTATTGATGGACACACAACCCAATACTCGTCCATTCCTTTTTCGCTTCGGCAAAGAATACATCCTTGTTCGTCGTCTTGGACAACTGCCACAAGCAATTTATTGTTCTGTAATAATCAGAGTCACCAGCGGTTTTGAAAAAGGGCTGCTTCTTCACCGCCTTTCCAAACAACGTCGCCTGTCTGGACATAGTCAATAACAGTCGTCAGCGCCAGCGCTAGACGGAAGGACTCCAAAGGAGTGCATGGAAGACGGTACTCTGGACGAAGGAGACAGTGAAACTCAAAAATAGAAGGGTCGACTCGCCGTCGAATGCGCCGAACTGTATGATCCCCGGCCCAGGAGCAGCCAAGGAAGCGCGCGCGGGGGCGCAGAAACTGCCAGAACTACAAAAATATTTGTAGTAGACAGTTCGCGCGCAGCCGCGCGTGGAAAACAGGGGCTACACGTAGACGTACACGTGGCACGCGCACGTGTCATTTCGGAAGTTTTTCAATCCGTAACTGGCCTTGACCCACCCACCCACTTTCGAAGCTACTACGGATTGGAAAAAACTTTCGATAATTGCGGACGACCCCTTACTCAATGCATGACACACTCAAATAATTACTAGGCTAGATCCCAAGTGTTAGTCAATGATGTGGCACTTTGCCAGGACATCATTGCTTGGGCATAACACGTACAACTACTGGTATGTGCCTTACCGCTTTCAGCTCTTGTCCACCTTTCCGAGCACTGAACACACACAGACACACACAGACACACACACAGACACATAATTATGTACGTGCCCGCACAGAATAATAATGGAGCCACAGTGATTTTAAAAACACAAGTGGAAGCATTCGCTTGCACCCGCATAGTACATGGATAAACTGGAAAAGCACCTAGAACGAGTATACAGTGAAACCTTAGCATCAAGTATCCTAGATATACCACATTTTTCTCTTTGCATCAAATGTAAAGTACTACAGGTAGACTCCCTTTAATTCGAACCTCAAATTGCCAGGCCCTAACTTCTAATTATCCGGAACTTCTAATTATCCAAATGCAGCCCCATACACTGATATGTATGTCAAAATGCTTGAAATCCCATGCTGAATATTTTTTGCACATTATTTTTTATTTGCATCAACGAAAGATAGGCGGTCGTACCGGTCATGTACAACGGATCATCAAAACACTGGATCGACACAAAATCATTTGACATTATTATCTTCATCTTCTACTTCTAGTGAAGAAGTTGTCAGTCACTGCAGCTTTCCTGAAACAATTTCAACGGAAAAGAACTGCGCTGCCTAATCCGCGTCATGAAAGGCCGTCGGACAGCAGCACGTCGTTCTGAAGAACGGAAGTGGAGCGTAGGCATAGACAATATTTACGACAATAGTGTTGTTGTGCGCCAACGTCTCCGCGCACGAGCTGGCGCGGCAAGAAAGGCCATCGAGATCCGCGAAGAGAGTCAGCCACCTGGAAGAAGTCGTCTTCAATCAAACCTTTGCAATTTGCCTCGCACGGGCTTGAACTAAATTTCGAGAGAAGGTGGGTTTCTTGAACGCTATAGTCGATCCTGCAGCGGACCATCGATCGATTTTTGAGCTACTCTTGGCTAGAGAAGGAGAAAAGAATGAACTTCGAAATACAAGGATAGCAACTCAATCTCACTTCGAAATAAGCGTTCAAAGAGCATAGGCAATGTACTGTAAACAGCTCTTCTGTACGAAGACTGGGTTCGAATTATCCAACCGGCGCACTTTTCGTACTTCGAATTATGCATTCGATTTTGACTTTAAATGACTTGCAGAAGATCGGTACGACGAAAAAGTTCGAATTACACGGAAGGTTCGAATCATACCGTATTCGAATTAGAGGGAGTCTACCTGTATTTGAGTAGAGGCTATCCATTCTTATCCAGTCGTTTGACCTCGGATATAGAGTACTGAGTACACATCAGCTACCACAACTACTCGGGTACTGTGTCTCTATGTGTCCCTGCTGGAGGTGCACTATACAATCAGTTTACTGTAGTACATGTACTTGTTTGTACATTGTCAGACAGTTGACACTGCCTTAGAACAATGAGCACCATGCCACACTACCTCCCACTGTACTTACCAGCGGTGAAAGATATCGTTGACCAAGTAAACAATATGTAGTCGCTGTGAGAAGGTGGCTGACTGATTGGATGCCCTGGACCAGAATGAGAGCAAGACATTGTGGGGAAGGAAAAGAAACAATGCAGTTAAAGAATGAGGGAGACTAGCAGCTTCACCCAACAACATTGTCGTGGCAATACACTGAGATGCGCTGGTGAACTCTAGGATCACAAGCATCCAAAATTCTAATGGGCTCCTCCACAAATCAGACTCCCTATGCCCATTGTATACAGGTATACTGAAGCAGCAGCAGCAGCAGCAGCATGCGTGGGCTCACCTGAAGTACATGTACTGGGCTACGTGATAGGCATGATAGTCCGATTGAGCAACTTGAAATATCCAGTTCTTGCCAGCCTGTAAAAGACACCATGCACACAAACGAATAACTCAGGTGAGAATCAGACGGGAACTCAAAAACTATTGAATCCAGACCGAGAACAGCTAGATCCAGAACAGCAATGGCATCAAACACAAGCCTATCTACAAGCAAGCACTGGCAAACTCACAGATATAGCATCTTTCGTTCCCTTGTCCATGACAGCAGACAGGACATGCTCAAATTCTCCCATGTCCGGAATCTGATGGCCAGAGGTGTCAGCTGACTGGGCCGGTTGCTGCTGCTGCTGTTCACCAGCTTGCTGGAATTGCTGAGTGCTGGCATGCGACTGCACGCCTTGCTGTTGCTGATATTGCTGCTGCTGCTGTTGCCACGTACCTTGATACGCCTGCTGCTGTTGTGGCTGCTGGCCTAGAATAAGGACATTGATAGAAACATGAGAAACGGGAGACATAATGAAGTGAAATCAGGATTAGAAAAAGGTAGTTTCCCCAATGCTGGATCTCAATGATGTCAAACAAGTTCACACACTGTAGACATACAGACTAGAAGTCAAGAGCAGCAAACCCATAGCTAATATTGCCAGCTGACTATTAAATGTTCATGTGCTTTTTTAAGTTTCCGATTTTTGCGAGGATGGTGTAACGCATATACTAAAATGCCACTAGCACATGCACACACTGCAACAATGGCTGCATATGTGATCACAGTACTCTGCGGACATTTGCCCTCACAAACACATTGCCTTCGAGCAGTAGAAAACATTTAGTGACGTAAACTTTGGGCGGTTTGCTATACACGGAAATATACAGCCTTTTACTGGTCCCCAGAGACACCCATTGTGCGATTGTCATATTTCTTTACAGCTACAAGTCCAAGGCTTGCTAGTGCAACCCATTGGAGAAGAGAGAGAGAGAGAGAGAGAGAGAGAGAGAGAGAGAGAGAGAGAGAGAGAGAGAGAGAGAGAGAGAGAGAGAGAGAGAGAGAGAAAGAGAGAAAGGGGGAGAGAGAGAGAGAGACTAGAGGAAAGGGTATAATATCATGGTAAACACCATGCAATGCCCTTTCAGACAACACTACAATGGTACCATTACAGTTATCAGCCAATGTGCAATGCATAAGTGAAAAGAATGAAATGCAGTGAAAGTCAAGTACATGTGTACGCCTGCAGTGCATTGCCAGCGCTCTATCTAACCTTGCTGAGACGGAAAGTAACCGGGCTGATTCATTTGCCCATGAGACTGCTGAGCCTGGTATTGCTGCCCTGGCTGTTGCTGCTGCTGTTGTTGTTGGTAATTCAGTTGCTGCTGCTGCTGTGTATACTGATCTTCTCCAGCAAACTGTGCGTACGTATTAGCACTAGGCTGGCCCTGGTCTGAACCCTGCCATGTACTCTGTCCAGACGCTGGCATAGAACCTGCCATGGCTGCAGACAACAGTCGCAAGCAAGCATAGTGCAAGAGACACGTACAACACACGCTTTAAGTACATGCTTACAAAAAATGGACCCATATCTCAGGCTCGAGATGCCTACACAACTCCATACACAGGCCATCCCAGACAGATCTAGTGGAGCGTGGAGCTGGAGCCATAAATAGACGAAAGTGAAGACAAATCATTGCTAATCAAAACTCGGATGTTGAGCCAATATTAAGTTACTATTAATTACCTCTTTGGACCTTCCCTAACCTGAGCCTTCCAAATTGGAAGTTTGTTGGTTTGCGCCTCGTAGATATGTTGGAGTTAGGTGTCAGGTCGTTGAATGCCTCAATATTTCTGTCAGTTTTGTGCCTTGTTGTCGCTTTATCTGACTGTATTAGATCTCGTTATCTTGGTGGAGTGTTAGTCATAACTCAGAACTTATTGGTCCTTTCTTAACCCGTAATGTTTACCTCTGGATACCTGTATAATTTATTCAAAGCTATCACTATGAGGCGTGTGTTAGCGAGATGGAGAGAATCGGCAGAGGAACCGTATAGAGGAACATTGTAGTGAGACATGATGTGTCTTAAGCTAGCACCTCCACTTTATCCATCCCCATGGTCATCGATGAATCAATTCTCGCCACACAGTCATGACATGATGCCTTGAAAATCGCTGTACATGTACATATTTCGGTGTGGTGATAGTCTATAAATGTGAGGTTTCGCATAATTGCACAGCAATGTGCTGTCCCTTTGGAAAAACGCGGCCAAGAATTCAAAATTCCGCGGCAAATTCCGCGGGGAAAAGAGGGGTTTTCTGCGGCATTTTCTGCTGTAAAATCAATAATCTGCGGCACTTTCTGCAAGTTTTTCACCCTCCTCGTAGAGGATATGACAACTAGTCGCATGAAGGAGCACTTTTCATACTATCCTTTGCAGTCACAAACTGAATAAGAGTGAAGAATCTTGGAGAGACCTGCACTGGCAAGAGAAATGTGCTCAAACAGATCGCAAAGTAGTTTTTCTGCTGCTTTCTGAGTAGTAATTTCAGTAATTTAATAATAATAATAATAATAGTTACAGTTCGCATGTCACTCATGGAAGGATCCATGGGCTTAACGCATCTGTCAACGAAATCCAGGCAGAAGAGCCGACAAAAGGCATCTCATTATTGTTAGAACGTATCGCAGTAAGAACAACTACGCAAGCGCAGCACATTTTTCCACAAGCATCAGCCATTCTTTCTTGTCTAGAGCCAGTTCAAAACAGTCAGAAATATCAATATTGGCGTGCTTTAGATCACTTTTAATATTGTCAATCCATCTGAGATGGGGTCGGCCACGTGGGCGCTTGATGTCCCGGGTATTAATTGCCATCTCCAGTGCTTGGTAGGACGCTGAGTTACGTCCTTCGCGAACAACATGGCCCAGCCAGAGCAGCCGACGTCTGCGACAGGTAGTGCTGACTGGGCCTTGTCGCGTTGAGGCGTACACCTTGGCATTCGACATGTGGTGAGGGTACACCACACCAAGCAGGTACCGCAATTTTCTGCGGTGCCATGCGTCCAGCCGATTACTGAGTTGCTGTGTCAGGGCCCACAGTCCGCAGTTATACAACAGGATAGGCAAAATGAGGGCAGAGAACATACAAAGTCTGGAGCTCAGTTTATGACGCTTCCACGAAATGGAGCCGAACGCTCTATTCGCAGCACCTATTCTTGCCTGAATATCCTCTGCGGACCCCAACAAAGAGCCAAGCAGCTTGACAGATCGCCAAGAGGAGTCGGCTTTAGTTACTGTAATATATTGTGTTTTCTGAATATTTAACATTAGGTTATCTTCTTTGAATTTACCCTAAAAAATTCAGATTCCGCGGGCAAAAGTGTGGATTCCGTGATTTCCGCGGATGATGGCAACTTCTGCGAAATTTGCCGCGGCCGCGGAATCGCGTTTTTCCAAGGGGACAGAATGTGCGTTTGTGTGTGTGTGTGTGAGCTAGCCGGTTGTACTGAGTTTAGGAACTTTTAATTTTGTCTTTACACACGTGTCCATGTATGGCTCCAGTTCCACATCATTCTACAGTGCTGCTCAATGAAATCCAGTCACGTCACTCTAGTACGCGCCGTGCGTTGCACAGCCCTCCCTAGACCTGAGAACACTGGGCTGCGAAATGGTGCAAGGCGCACACTGGATTTCATTGAGCAGCACTGTAGTTCAAATTCATCTATCCACACACAAACTCATCCCGCCACTTTTCTCATTCCCTTGGTACCAAGGGAATCATCAGGGCCGCTGGAACCAGTCTGGTTGGTCAGGTTGTCACCGGACCAACATGCTAGCCACCAACACATGTCTACTATTATGGAGGTCATGTGTACCCGCCATATCATACACAGACTGTTTGAAAGGCACTGAAACTACCGGACCAATCAAGAACTGCTTCCGGCAGTCCTGATCATGGAGTTCCGACCTGAGGATGGGCCACGCCAAAACATTTGGGGCAGGAGAAATGATGTTCGCAGCAAAGAGGCTATGTGGTATGTACTCTTGGTGGTATGTATGATTGTTGACTAGCCTCTCAGTAAGTTACTGACTCACCAGTCTTTTCAGCTGATATTTTCCACTCGTAATATCGATGAAATTCACCACCAAACAAGAAGTCAAACTTGGCATTGTCCTTCTGCTTCTCCTTCGTCATAAGCTCGAATTCTTTTCCATTTCGAGCAACGAAGTTCGCAAGTTTGTCGATTATATTCTGTTGTTCTCGGTCTAAAAAATGAGAAAGCATGAATTACATTGTTCAACTCCTATTCAATATCTTACACACACAGGAGTATGACGGCTAAGATTGTACAGTACAGAATGTAGAGTCCAGTGATGGCAATGTGGATGAATTTCGTTACCTTGAGGTGGATATGGAATAGGTTCAGCTTTTGTCGCCATACTTATAGCTAGAAAGCACTGGCACCAACTTGGGATTCCAGACTAAAACCCTCAGCATCTAATGGGAAGCGTTACGTCTTCGACAGATCATGATTATCATATCTTCGCTTCAACACTAGCTTGAGCAGAATCTGAAAGATAGAATCTACACAATTCTAAAAATACTACTTGGAATAACAATTTCTTCAAGAGAAGCACAATTTTTTTGCATTTTGCCTGACTTCATTTTTGCTGATTTTGCGTCAAAATCCAAAAAAAAACAAAGGAGGAAAAGTCTTTTTTTTCATTTCCCGACGTCATGACGTCATGAGGTAAGAATTATTTTTCTGTTTCTGTTTAATATTGCCGAGTCGGGCACAAAAAAAAAAAAAAAAAGAACGCGGGAAGCTTGTGTGTGTCATGATGTTGTACGTCGTGCGTAGCTCCTGTACACATTTTTACTACAAGTCATACAACGCCACAAAACTACTTCAAAACAACAACAACAAGCGTGTAGGGCGGAAGCCGGCTAGCTACAATAGAGAGTAGTTGCACACCATCCAAGTCTGAGCTTTCCAGACAGCATACTAGTAGTGCATCATATCCGGCCGGTGCTGTTTCGTTGTGCATGTCACATCAGTCTTCATCAGGAACTGTCAACGTCAAGGACTTGCAACAAACACTATCTCTATTCTGCTGTTCTGCTTGCAACCCTACATGGTGGTTGTCTGTGTTCGACGGTTCTGCACCCACTGCTAGGATTTTGGCCACTGTCAAGGTGTAATTGGTAGTTGACGAGATATTAGCGTAGCATTGTAGTGTGTAGAGATAAGTTCGTAGTAAGATGGAGAACGGCAGGACTACACTAAGCACGTCTGGGAATCTAACACCAATGTTGCCCAGGTAAGTTTCCAGCTTTTGACATTGTGGAGAATCTTTCCATTACATGTGCGTGACGTGCATATCTACAAAGCTGAATTTTAAAAATACGCTCTGCACGTGGTATTTCAAATATTCAAAAACTATTGATAGGAACCAGGGAGTAGTACAATACTGTAGTACAGTATTGTACTACTCCCTGATAGGAACTGTTTGTAGGCTTTTAGGCTGTGTTTACATGAGGCGTTTCAACCCGGGTTGAGTTCGACCCGGGTCAGATTTCAACCCGCCATGTGCACAAAGTGAATGGCGCGTTTACATGACGCATTGCGCTTGACCCGGGTTGAAATTTCGCCCCGGGTTGATTTCAACCCTCCCCCCAAGGGGAGGGTTGAAATCAACCCGGGTCAAGAAAATCGTACAAACGTACTTCTGTGCGTATCTCGCGCCAGGTTTGAACGGCACTGCAGATGCAAATTTCGCGCGAACAGATTCACGTGACCATACAGGACTGTAGAAGTGGACTTTTGGCGGCATATCAGTATTTGACCCGGGTCAACTGTCTTCATGTAAACGCTCACCTCTTTTGTCTATCGTACAGACTTTCAACCCGGGCTGAACTCGACCCGGGTTGAAATTTCTCATGTAAACACAGCCTTACGGGCGAACAAAACACAATTTGCCATGGCGGAGGATTTGTAGGCTTTAGACAGCAAGAGTGCATAAAGTACTAGTAGTTTACCAAATCAATCTTCATCAATCAAATGTAAAAAGGAAAGAAAGGAGAAGAGAAAGATGTGGTGTGCTGGTACTTATGGTAATGCTGCATCAGTCATGTGTGTCCAGAAAGCTACCGGTACGCACATACATTATACTGGTACTAGATCGTACTTCTGTCCCGCCAAGACTGAGTACATAACCAAGCATGTGCAACTCGACGATCCCCCAGCGCTACCGCCCGCGACGGAAATGTTTATGATATCTGTCTTTCGTGGCCACTTGCGTAGCCAGAGATCAACGTATCAAAAGTTGTACGTCACCGCTACGGTAGTCGAAGCAGAACAAAGGGCAGTAGACCCATGTGTCCTGTACGTGATGAACTGATACTGTGCCGACAAGATAACTGTGGAAAGCATACCCACTTGATCATACTGCCGACGAATGACGCAGTAAAACATTCCTCTGTGGTTGAACCCATCGCAGGTCGAGATAGGAGTTGCACACTCTTGGTTATGTACTCTTGGTCTCGCCTGCCGCCATTAGTGAGGTTTTGCATTCCGAATTTCGGCTCGGCGTTCTTCGGTCATTTGCCGAACATCAAAATGTCGAATTTTCGCACCAACGTTTGTTTTGCAAGTCGAAAATGGTGTGTTTTCATTTCGTGAGCCCCAGCATCAGCAACGTCCTGTCCCGTGCTCCCTTTCTTGCTGATTCCAACGAACTTTGATCGCCCAAAGAGTTGAGGGCCAAACCTGCCTCCTCAGTCGCCTCAGAAAAACCAACTCCATGGCCAAGTCAAATTTTATGCGTATCGCCATAGTCATTTCAGCCACACAGATGACGGTGAGGACACTCCAGGCGATAGAGAGTAGACAGGCAGTGGAGAGGAGCAATCAGAGGTAGCTGGCGATGCTGATGTCGCCCAAGACGCCTGTGAAGCGATGCCGAGATAAGAAACCTCTTTGAATAAATCACGCGCTAGCGCTCTTCTACAAGAAAATTCATCCGAAAAATATTTTCGGCAAAGTGAGCTTTTTCCGAACAAACATGCCGAATCTTCGACCTTGCTCCCGCGTGCCGAATCTTTTTGCTGAATTTCGGAATGCAAAACCTCACTAATGCCACCGACTTCCTCACAAGTAAGCTCCCAACCAGGGAGTCATAAAAGCCCGGGAGAGGACACGGCACACATTCCCAGAAAACATCTTTGACTTGCACTGCCCGGGGACGGAGTAGTATTTTCACTACTCCGGGTGCTGCGATGCCAGGAAATTATTATTTCGAAAATTGTGATGTCTACTTGAAATACTTCTTGGGACATTTTCCAATTTCTCTTGGAGCACCGAGACGATTGCTCCGTAGAGTCTTCTGATCGCTATTTTCATCCTCATTTCTTCCAGTTGCCTCACTCATTTATCGAAGTCGATTTATTCTGAGACGATGGAAAGGCAAGGTAAATCCCAAACTGTACTTAAATTGTATTAGAGTTGGGGTGAACGAAATGTAATTTATGGAAAACTTCAAAATGAAGCCACTATCATACTGCCCATAAAATTTGGTGCCCTGGAAGTGGCATGAATGTGACAGGATGTACCGGTACACCCATACAAATACCAGGACGGTGCACTGTGCGTCCTCGCCTTTTCGCGCTGGATCATACAGTAGAGTCGCGCGCCCAAGAACGTTGTTTCCAAGGGGCTAGCCTGGGACGTTCTTATAGCACGTTCTTAGAAACAATCCGCAAGCTGCAAGAAAACCAACCCTGCCGCTCTTAACTTTAGGCTGTGGCGTTCCTAGTATTTCAGGCTGGACGTTCTTGGGCTCCACGTTGTTCAGCGCGCGACTCTACTGACTGTACTGTATCACAGAACGGAAACTGCCAGAAACCAACACGGAAATGAACAAATGTTGCCGGTCAGAAACTTCGTCCAATCTCGAAACGAAACTTCTGGTTTCATACAACTTTGGAAGATTGGAAATTTAACCATGCAGTAGTCGTCCCCAGAACGACACATGCAGCCATGGCTAAATAATTCATTAATTATACTTCTTTGACAGAAGGCAGGTTTGCAACAAGCAGGACCAGATTGCAAGAGAATTCCTACTGTGAAGGACAAATAGAAACACCATACTACTAGAAAAAATCTATCTGCTTGCACCCCACCAGAACTATTTGTGTGCATAGCCCAATCTGCAGAAACCAGCGTTCCACTCCCTTTGCGTACTCAACACAGCTCATAGTTTTCCATAGCAATCTTTTGTAGTCAAGCAACAGAGAATAAAGTAAGCACTGATTCACAGTATGGAGAACAGTCCAGCATAATAGTAATAACTAGTGAAGAAAATAGTAACAGTAATAATTATTACATCATAGATTGTGGCAGCCAATGAGCATGGCAAACAATAGAACTTTGAAAATGAGAATCCTGATCTCGAGAAAGAGATCTACCACATCGTGTGAACACTCAGTGCAGTCCAAGACTACTTCTCTTGCCCTCCTGGAGTGATAAAAGGAACAAGGAGAGAGAAAGGTTTAATACTAAAGCAAATTGGAGCATACACACAAGTGCTCATCAGAATAATGCTCTTTCAGAAAACCACTGTAAACCACATGTGTAACATCAGGAAATCAGATGTCCCTATGCGTTTATCATCATTTTGAGCAAGAGAAAATTCTAGAGGTCGCCAGTTCTTACCTGGAGGGAGGTAAAACGACTTGCTGCATACAAGAAGGGAGTGCGTGTAGGCGTGGAGACATCTGAAATCAGAAAGAGATAATCAAAGGAGTAAGCGTGCGACAGAAAAACGATGATACCGAAAACTAACAAAAAGGACAGCATCAGAAAACCACTGTAAACCACATGTGTAACATCAGGAAATCAGATGTCCCTATGCGTTTATCATCATTTTGAGCAAGAGAAAATTCTAGAGGTCGCCAGTTCTCACCTGGAGAGAGGTAAAACGTCTTGCTGCATAAAAGAAGGGAGTGCGTGTAGGCGTGGAGACATCTGAAATCAGAAAGAGATAATTAAGGGAGTAAGCGTGGGACAGAAAAATGATGATCCCGAAAACTAACAAAAAGGACATCAGGTTGAAGACCGAGATTTATCTCCACATGAAAGTCAGAGAGATTCCCATCGTTTTTTTCATCAAGTGCAGTCGTACATAACAAATGGTGTGGCAGAATGTATTTTACCTTCAAAAGAAACCTGGAAAGAATCCTTCGCTAGTAGATCCGCGGCATTTCCGGAATCTGTTCTGTAAAAGCACAGAAAAATGACACAACACATTCATTTTTATTATTGCTACAAAGAAGAAAATGCAATCAACTTTGGATCCAGATCTGCCTCTGAGATCTTGGTGAGTTGTCTCGTCATACACAAATGTCACGAGTAGCGATTATAAATCATCATAGGCAAGATAGCAATGAGACACAAGACAAGAAATTCGTTCGGCATTACTTACAGTGAGAGTGACTACATGCAGTCAGCTTGATTCAGCAGCGATCTCGACATCGCGAATCACATTGTGCTATTATTCAGTTTATGCTGGTCTTCATAATCTATGAGCCGAGAAGAGTCAAGATTTCACGTGCCTTCATGTCCACTTGGTGAACTCCATTCTTTGCCCTGTGATTCATACAACAAAACAGGAAAGTAACGGGTCAGCAAAGGCAAAGCACTTTCACTTCGTCTAGCATAAATTTTCGGAGAAAGAAGCCTCAGAGATCTTGGTGAAAATATCTCGTCATTCAAGATTGTCAAGAGTAGCAAATAGTAAAATCATCGGCTTCAAATATTGAATTCCAAAAGTAAAACATCAACACTTACCAGACAAATCAGGGCGCTTGGAGCCATTTCAGAAGAAGAAGAAGAAGAGAGCTCTTCTTGCACGTGCCGAAAGAGAACGATGTCGAAGAATAATGATGCTTTTGGAGTTGCGCATGCGTTTTATGCGATCTTTCTGGCTAGATTCATAGCAACGACACGTGGTTGTCAAGTGCGTACCACGCGTGCGCACGCGCATGCACCGTACCAGTCGCTGCATGCAGTCAGTCATCATGTCAGCTCTGTGCGAGAAGAAGGATCTAGCCTAGTTGGAGGACGTCACGTCAAGGCAGCTAGCTAGCTCGTGCTGGCGGAGGGTCATGGTGGTTGTTTGTTCATGTCATGGCCTTCATTTTCGATTTTCTCCCAGGACCCTTGTCTCTTCTTCGGATCCACAAGCATTAGCCGCACATACTCTAATGCAAGCAGTATTCGTACACCTAATCTCAAGTTTCACGAACATGTTGATTGTTTGTGGTATGGTTGCAACTTGTCCGCAGGTAGAAAAAGGCAATCCGATCTGGGCATCGATCGAGTCTTATCCGCGCCCAGTGTGTTGCAAATAATGCCACCGACAGTTCGCTGTAGATCCCGTTTTCTCTTTCCGGCATGTGTTTGCAGACTTCTCCAACCCTAAACACCCTCACAACAAACGTTGACTCGTCGAGGGACTTGACATGATGAGCTCCTTTCACTGACACGTTCGTGTTCATGCATTACAGATACTGACAAGCACTCCAGCGAAGCCTGGACGAGTATAAGAATGAGAGAGACATCCAGTTCTGGACAATCCGTAGTGTAGTTCGCAAAGTAACGTTAGTTTTGTTGGCCAATCACATCATGGAAAACTTCAGGTACATGAGAGTGATTTGGTCGTCGACCTAGTTATGTAAAAACGTGGTAGCAGATATGCTCAGAATCCCTGCTAATTCCATCAAGCAATCCTGATAGTGTAGCTGCTGATCTCCTGGTTTGTGTGTTGTCTTACTGCACATGTAGTCTAACAAGAGATCCTGAGCAGTTGGATGGCAAGTTACTGTTTGCTATCCCAAAGAAAGGGCGACTATATGAGCCATCAGTTGCTCTTCTTCAAAGCTGTGATCTCAAGGTAAGCAGCCACTGTACTGGTGTTTCATCTTTTGAATGATGACATACTACACTGTAGTAACACAAACTTAGGTAGAAAATCAGGTGAACACAGAATCGTCTCTACAACAAAGTGCCATGCCCTGCGTCAAAGCGTGTGCACATACATTGTACATCATGGGTGACTCACCCTGGATGCGAGTATCCACGAAGATTTGCTGTAAATTAAACTGCACAAGGGCAATAATGCACACATAAATGCGAACATGGTCGCATGCGCTAATCCCTTGTCAAATCGCCGTACTGTATAACACTTTGTTTTCCGTATTGTCTTTCCTATAAACCTCCAACCCGTAACACACGAACAGTCCCCGGCTGCACCACGCACAACGATTGTTTCCAAATGTTCACCCAGGAGGGCATCACTAACTTTTAAAATTTCGGTAATTTTTTGGTAGAGAAACCGGGCAGCTAAATTTAGATTACAATCACGGTAATAGGCACTGTACACTGACTTGTATGTGAAGGGAGATGCTGGTCACCTAAATTATTTTAAGTTTCACCTGAAACCTGTAAGATCCATACACCGAAATTTACACGTTATATCCGTGAAGCAATGTTTAGTGGTGACAGGCGTCCATCTGTAAAGAGGGGGCTGTAGCTGGAAGCTTCTGGACAAGGTGTGATGTGCATATGTGCAGTGTTTGGTCTATTTTGTTGGTGCTGATACTTGGTATAGTCCTGAGTGTTTGTTTTGAACACATGGCCTTACTCTTCGTATTGCATAGACTCTACTAAGTCTTGTTGAATTCTGTCGCCATTACTGGTTGCGCCTGTAGATGGACAATGTTACACTTCATGAATGTACCGCTTTACATGTATCTTCGTACCTGTCTTATGGCACTTGGTTGAGCCCCCTCCCCCCCCCCCCCCCCGCTGACACATACATTGTCTACACGCGACTCCCTTATTTCCTACACCTCGCCTCACATACTCACACCTAGATGCTAGACTTCGCAGTGTTTGGGTGTTGAAACCCTGCATGTAGTTCCATAACTTGCAGAAGTATGTATGCACTGCACTGGAACTTTGTTATTTCTATTCTTCATCAGAATGATGGCTAGGCTTGAAGTTTGGTGAAATGTAAAGTCAGTTATTAGCAGCTGTTTGGAGAAGTTATGAACCTGAATAATGCAGTGCAGTGCTTCTGCTCTTAGGGCTGTTACCATGGTTTTGGCAGCCATGTTTTATCATTACCTTCATCTTGAATGAAGAGCAATGATATAGACTGCGTGGCCATTACATCACACTTCAACGACTTTAATACGTGTCTGTGTATGAATGCCACAGTCATTGTCTTGTGGATGCATGTTCATCGCTCTGTGCTTATGTCCAACAATGCCATCGATTGTATCGGTGCTGTGGAGATTGTAGTCATCACAAAGTGTTTCCTGTGTTGTGGAGACTGTTTTCAGTTCATGTTCACAGTATTTCTTGTTTTGACTTATCCCCATGCATGCAGTACCGTCGTAAACATCGCCTAGATGTAGCAGGCTGCTTGACACTGAATGGTAAGTGTTGTTTTAGTTCCAGCATATCAACGGTAATAGTCCATGTGCTTCAAGACATAACATGAGGTCTGCTCATACACTGTTTTCTGCTGGATAGTGGAACAAACAGTCATGTAACTATAATAGTTTTCTTTGCTTGTGTGTGTGTGTGTGTATCTGTGTGCATGTGTGTACATGTGCATGCATGTGCATGTGTGATTATGGGGTGTTTATGATATGCAGTTGCGTTTGTCTTCTTACCCGCCGCTGACATTCCGCTGTATGTCAGTCAAGGAAGGTGGGTGCATGGACGTGTGCGCATAGTCCTTGATGTTGTGTATTGAAGTGTGTTGAGAGTGTGTATTGAAGTGTGTTGAGAGTGTGTATTGAAGTGTGTTGAGAATGGGTTGAAGTGTGTTGAGAATGGGTTGAAGTGTGTTGAGAATGGGTTGAAGTGTGTTGAGAGTGTGTATTGAAGTGGGTTGAGAATGGGTTGAATGTCCCTACAGTTACTGTTATTAATAATTATTATGTGCTATCTGGTGCAAATGATGCGATTTGTACATGTACTGTAAAAGCCATATATATATATAACGAAGTGCTACCTCATATACTGTCCTATTGAGCGTTGAGAATGAGTGAGAATCGTTACCTTTGATACACGTAAACTAGTCAATTTGGGAAATCGTTATATATGCGCCTCGTTAGAATAATGGCGTTTACAGTACATCAGAACACTGAACTATTGACGTTTGTCTACTCTCAGCATCCAGCAGTGACTCTCTTACTGTCTGCCTTGTAGAAGTGTTGACTCTGGGTTTTTTTAACACCTAAGCCAGTGTTTCTTACACATTGTGGTCGCAGGCACTCATGTTTGAGTGACTCATTGTGCTAATTGCGTTCTTCTGTTACTGCGCTATGTAGAGTTGACCTGGGTATCACAGGCCAGGATGTAGTAGCAGAAGCTCAAGTTGACGGTAAGTTTGTACTTTGCGTACGGTAGCCCCACTACCCGCTACTGACTTGCTGCATGGCAACTAAAAGCAAATGCGAGCTAAGACGAGATTGTCAGCAGCATGTGTCCTTGTCGTATCCCGATTGTAGAACCCGTTGTGTAAATGGCATCGTATCTGATGGAATTGAGTACTGTACATGTATATGTGTCTATGCGATGTGTGTGTGTGTGTGTCTGTATGCTGTATGTGTGTCTGTATGCTGTATGTGCGTCTATACTGCATGGGTGCTTATACTGTATGTGTGTCCCATACTGAATGTGTGTCAATGCTGTGTGTACTGTTGCTACTCTGCAGTTGATGAAGTGTTGCGTTTGGACTTTGGAAAATGCAGACTTTGTGTGCAGGTATGTCTAGAATACTGGTGCTGTGGAACTTCAGCTGCATGCTTATTGCTCGTTGTATTGCTCATTGTACTCGAGTATTTTCAACTGTTGCCTGGAACGTACTGTGATAGCATTCCCTGAATTGTTGCATGTGTGTGTGTGTGTGTACGTGTGTGTCCGGTTTGATCCAGGTGCCCACTGCATCCGAATGTCAAAAAGCAGAAGACTTGGCAGGTGTGTACATGGTCACTACTGTACAAAGTACTAGCCATTGTTCCCAGCCATTGGTCCCAGCCATTGGTCCCAGCCATTGGTCCCAGCCATTGGTCACTGTGTCTTGTAGAACTTTGTCAAGTGCATGGGTGGCTGGTGACATGTTACACCAGGTTTCCCATGGTTCACTGCTGACACAGACTTGCTTGCTCCATGCCTGCTTTTCGCCATGCGCACAATGATTGATTGTGTTTATGTAGGAAATTAGGAATATCATCAACCGGCAATTTAGCGAGGGAACACGCCCTCCAAGTGCCCATTGGGTCCTAAATATCTTTCTAGTCCGCTGTCACAATATGGAGTTTTCTGCCTCATACACGGATACGATACGTTATAACTTATGAGTCATGCCGTTGTACTTGCTTTGACTTATGATCTTTTTTCTCCCCTGTGTGACTGTCCGGTGGCTGGGTGTATGTCGGTGCGGTGTGTTTCTGTTCTTCAGGGAAGCGAGTGATTACATCATTCCCAAATCTCACAAGGCAGTTCTTCAAGGTAAGGATAAGTTAGAGGGTTTGAGAAGGGGAAACAATTTGAAGAATAAATTAACTTACACAGTCTCGAATAACGGGACCTTCGCTTTATTCCAGTGATGCTCAAACCACTGAGCTATGGTTTAGTTGCCATTCAAACACCTTTTGTTCAACGTTTTCTTTAGACTTCAAAGCTCACACCTCCTGTGAGACTATACAGGCTGGTGAGACGCAGCCCTTAGTGTACCCACACGCTACACGCGGAAACCAATGCACATGGAGCACCAATGCATCAAATATTCTCAGTCGGTAGAGCATGAGACTCAGGGTCGTGGGTTCGAGCCCCACGTAGGGCACCAATGTAAAGATATCGGCACGCACAAGAAGTCGGATCGAGGAGGTTCTGAATTACTCTTGCAAGAAGGCTTCAAGATGATTCGAGAGAGAGCAGAAGTCGAAAGCACGAGGCTATGAAGGGCCTGGGTAGCTATGGTAATGAATGGATGAGAGCGCGAATGTAGCTTCCCAGGCCATTGTGATACTCAGATATTGCGCAAGGAAAGGAGAAGAGAAAGGGCTTGTGATATGACGGAAGTAGGCTCCCAGAGTCCCAGTAGACGACAATCCATGACCAAACACCAGGTTTTGATCGCGGCCACGATTTTCACGACCACAATTCACATATCCCGCCACAGCAAATCTCCTTGGATACCTGCGTCCAGACGTGACTGGGATCGTAGTGTGAATGCCACATTACGTATGTAGCATACTATATCTCCACTCAGGTTGAGACTTTCTCTGTATGACTCCAACTCAGATTGCCAACTTCTCCATACAAAACCTGAGTTGGAGTCATACAGAGAAAGTCTCAACCTGAGTGGTGATATATAGGGAAAGCCATGTCTGGAGTTATATAGAGAATGACCTGGAGTTATTAGAGAAAGTCGCAGTGAAGCCATATAGGCACGAAGTAAACAGGTGATGACATATAGAGACAGTGACGACAAAATTAATAGAGAAATGATGCCATACTGAGTGTAACATATAAAATAAGGATTGAAAAGGGAAAAGCATGTACTGTGCAAATATCAAATTTGTAGGGTAGTTAGGGTAACCTTGGCCGCTCTTCGGAATTGATGGATCAGGGTGCCAAAAAAGACAAAAATAAAGCAGTGTGTGATTGTATGCTGCAAGTAAATCAAGTAGACAATGTAAGGGAGAGGAAAGGAAGCAGCAAGGCAACCAAAGCTCTAATATGTCACAATAAGATGAAGCGAAACAACCTATATTATAATGTGCGTGATTGCACTAGAACGGGGAAGATAATCATACTCGGAAGATGACTGACACTTGGAACAGAACGCGCAGAGTACGGAATCTCAGGCTAACTCTGTATCTGAAGCTTGCACAGAAATCAGCCTAACCTACTGATCTACTAGTACCAAGAGTACATAACCCCCCAGAGTGTGCAACGCCGATCCAGCTCTGCATAGGGCCTTGGTCGAGCGGAATCGGATCTTCTGATGTCATGCGTACACTTCACACCAGCGCAAGGCCGGTCTCGAGGCAGGGCACCATTGTTTTTGATCCAAGAGTACCCGCGACTCCCCGGGTTCCCCTCAGATGTGTACGGTATTATGACGCAAAGATCCGATTCCGCTCGACCAAGACCCTATGCAGAGCTGGATCAGGCGTTGCACACTCTGGGGGGGGTTATGTACTCTTGCTAGTACTCTACTATTAAAGGGGTTGAAACTTGCACTGTACTTGTAAACATGTACTAGTATCCAGCATGTGCCCATGTGTCTGCTCACTCTCCTGGTATTTTGCTCACTTTGAGTTAATGAACATTCAGTCATTTTGTCATTTTGTCTTGTTTTCCTCGTCTTTCACTACTAGACTAAGTGTCCAAATGGAGATGCAGCAACTGTGCATTTTGTCAGCGGCTCTGTTGAGGTATGTAGCCAACATTTAGAGTCACTACTATCTGCCTGTCTCTCTCTCTCTCTGTGTCTCCGTCTGTGTGTGTGTGTGTCTCTCTCTCTCTCTCTCTCTCTCTCTCTCTCTGTGTCTCTCTCTCTCCTCAGGGTATGTTAGCTTTATCTAGAGCCTAGGGGATGTACAGAATCTTCTTCAAACATACTCCTGCTAATCGATAGAAACCCTTTCCAAGCGTACGCTCCATTTTTTCTCCCCTGGTATGTTGTTTGAGAAAACGATACACGGTGTCCTTTCTAAGTGTTGTGCCATGTCTTCTCCCCCCCCCCCTCTCCTCTCCTCTCCTCTCTCTCTCTCTCTCTCTCTCTCTCTCTCTCTCTCTCTCCAGGTTGCATGCTGTCTGGGTCTTGGAGAGGGAATCGGTAAGTCAGTGAATACTGCTGCGATTTACCATTCTGCTTTTTAATAATTTTTAGTTCAGTATAGTACCCAGGATATTATTGGTTAGAGACCATCCGGAAACTCTGTTAAAGGGCTCTCCATGAAGCTACTCAGTTCATCCTAGGTGGAATGTGTAGCGGGAGCTGGTTTATCAGTTTTCTGTTGTTTTGGTGCCGGGGTGTGAGCCGAGGTGGGACTGTCCAGGCAATTCTCGACCTCTGTGATGCATCTCACTGGTACAGTGATATTGCTGTGGCTATACTGTAGTAGAGTTCTCAAAAACCCCTGGACTCCAACCTGTCTATGTGTGTGTATGACGGAGAGGTAACTCGACTAGGCGAATTACGGGACTACACACTTTTAAAACATCTTTGGCTGGAGCTTGACTTGATATCTTTGACCTTACTAGGCCTCAACATGTTACACTCCTACCCGTATTCTTTGCATGGGATATAATAATGTACTGTTGTGCTAGGTGAACCCCCACACAAAGTGCATATTGGCCAACCAGGATTTGCACAGTCCTTGAAGCCCTGGAATGGTAGGCATGCTGCTGGCAATACATGTGTACTAAGGCAATACAGTGATGTAATCACAGCTGGTCCAGGGTGTCAGCTGATCCAGGGTGTCAGCTGATCCAGGGTGTCAGCTGGTCCAGGGTGTCAGCTGATCCAGGGTGTCAGCTGATCCAGGGTGTCAGCTGGTCCAGGGTGTCAGCTGGTCCAGGGTGTCAGCTGGTCCAGGGTGTCAGCTGGTCCAGGGTGTCAGCTGGTCCAGGGTGTCAGCTAATCCAGGGTGTCAGCTGATCCAGGGTGTCAGCTGATCCAGGGTGTCAGCTGGTCCAGGGTACCGGGTGTCAGCTGATCCAGGGTGTCAGCTGATCCAGGGTGTCAGCTGGCCCAGGTTGTCAGCTGATCCAGGGTGTCAGCTTGCACTTTGCGTCAGATCTCACCTCGTGAAATTGTCCCTCTTTTTTTAGTGTGATCCAAAATGACAAGAGTGCATAAACAAGAGTATGCAACTGTTGTTATGGGTCAGTGCGCGGCGCGCTGCCTTCATTACGTAACTTGCCTTCATCACGCTCTGAAAGGATGCACTTCAACCCACAATTTCTCGTACGAGCCCATCCATTTTTGCTCGATTCGTTCCAATACCTACGCAACTCCAGTTCCGTACGAAAGTTCATTTCAAACCATAGGGAAAGTGCGGTGTTTGATTTTCCGCAGTGCGCGGGCTGCGGCTGAATGATGTAATGAAGGCAGCGCGCCGCGCATCTGGCCCGTAGAAAAGAGATCATAGTTGCATTCTCTTGTTTATGGACTCTTGATAATGATCATATTCCATTCTAGTCCTTCAACCTCATCATAATTATGTCTTAATTTGCTAAATCCTATATATAGGATTTTGGTCATATTTTTCAACTCAAAATCGGTGTGGCATGAGCATAGGGAAACGTATATGACCAATTCTTCCGTGTTAGGTCTTAGTCGATATGGAGAGTTGAATAAGATATTTTTTTCATATACTTACATCTAAAGCGGGATTCACAGAAGCTTTTTTGCGATGCGACACGCGATGTGACGCGATCTGCGACGGACGCGTGCGACGCGAACTTGCGAAATACCATTCACAGAAGAAGTCAGTGATGCGACAAAATCTTGCTGATTTGGCTACGTCACCATGATATTCGCGCGGTTTGATACAACTTGTACAAATTTATAGGCAACTCTTGAACCTTTGTACAACTTTGCTGTAGAAAAGGTCAAAATCGTACGCCAAATCGCTTTTCGCATCGCAGCGCAAAAGTTGAGCCAAGCTCAACTTCTGCGATGGCCCTGTTGCGGCAGTTGCGTGGGGTCTGCAATGGTCGCGATTTGGGGATTTCCCGGTTTCGCGGCTGTCGCATCGCAAAAAAGCTTCTGTGAATCCCGCTTAAGGCTCATCTCATTACGCAATATTTCTAAGGCATGTGCCCTATTTTTCGAATCCTATATAATTATAGGATTTGAGATTTTACTGGACCTTGTTTTATCCTAAAATTGGTAGTTTCACGACGGCATGTGCGATATGTCGTCATGAAACCACCCCGTGCCACACCTGTAATGTTCTTTTGCACATTCACTGCTTCACTTCAGTCCTTCCCATGACACCAGCTGAACAATGCTGCTCAAAATTCCAATTCTTGCTCAAAATGGGTATTCACGATGTCCTATGAATCTAAAAAGTAAACATTCATGCCTCAAACATATTTACAGCTTATAATAAAACCGTTATGCTCTTGTTATGGGTCATGAATGACTCATGATGACCAATAACAACGGCATAAAGGTCACGCATTTTCAAATCCTATATACAGTGAGTATCGTTTATAAAGTGACCGGGTGTAACTATATACCGGCTATAATGATAGAACTCGCCAAAATCAAATCACAAAAAATACAGCTAAAATATCACTATACACACTATTATCGGCTATACCGGTATATCGCTTATTGTGATGGGCTTCAGGAAGCAAACCATATCAAATGCACAGGAAAATATCGCATATACTGATCAAGAGTGATGATCACAAAACAAGTGTTCTTCCAATATAGTTCACTTCTTCCAAAACTGATCCAATGTTGCCTGGATGCATCTGGCAGCAGACATGATTGAGAGAAAATTCTTCCCTGTATGCTGTAAGCAGCCACGCGTACACATGGCTGCTTTTTTATGCTTTTTCCAGCATGTACGCATCATTTCATGCACAGTCATGTGCCATGTGTCAGTCATCCATGCAAATCGGCTATAGTGATGCACCGGATATAGTGATAAATTATCGAAAATCAAAGGGGCACGTTATATCCACTATTTACTGTATAGGACTTTTTGCCAGCAAATTAAGAGATACGAGTAGAGTACAGTCATGTACATGTACTTCAGTTACTAGTATACAGGAGTTCAAGAGAAGTTTTTCCGAATTTTTTACTTATACAGCGTAATCAAGAGTGCATAAACAAGAGTATGGAATTGTGGTTATGGGTCAGTGCGCAGCGCGCTGCCTTCATTACGTAACGTGCCTTCATCACGCTCTAAAAGCATGCATTCAAACTCACAGTTTCTCGTACGAGCCCATCCGTTTTTGCTCGATTCGTTCCAGTACCTACCCGATCTCTAAATTTTTGCGCGTGAACTCCAGTTCCGTAAGTCCATTTCGAACCAGAGGGAAAGTGCGGTGTTTGATTTTCCTCAGTACTCGGACTGCAGCTGAATGATGTAATGAAGGCAGCGCGCCGCGCATCTGCCCCATAGAAAAGAGATCACAGTTGCATACTCTTGTTTATGGACTCTTGGCGTAATGTTGAACTCGGATGCAGAGCCAATGATTATAATTACGAAGAAAGGACCAAAGGTTGACATGTTACCCGCAGGTGTCCAACACTGACAATTCTAAGCAAGATGTTGGTGCGTCACGAAATGCAACAGTTAGCACAATAATGACTGATGTACTGAAAGAGAAGTTGGAAGGCTGTTCGCGTGCGCATTCAAGACGTGATGCAACTTAACGTCCGGTCGTTGAATGCCAGTACCACATCAGTTATCGTGCTAACTGTTGCACTTTGTGACTCGCCAATATCTTGCTTAGAATTGTCAGTTTTGGACAACTGCGGATAACATGTAAATCTTTGTGTGACATTGTAAATGTTACTTCTTCCCTGGGCTCCGCGACACAACAACTCAAACGACTTGATAGTAGAGAGGTTCCGCACTACGTAGAGTTGAGCAACTTTACGTTAGTGGACGGGAAAACCCGTGAATTCGCGAGTTTGCACTCCACTTACGGAAAGTTGTCTACGTAGAGTACGTAGATCGGGCTCTGATAACGTAGCTGGTCCGTAAGTGGATTGGGGTACAAATTTATGACCCTGTCCCCAGGTCGATCTGGTCGTACACTGCCACGTTCGGAGTTGCCAAGGGCAGCTACGTGATTTGAAAACGCCGCATGGCGGAACACAGATGCGCATGCAGTTTACGTAAGACTTTCCGTAGATCGACTACGTTTTTTACTAACGTAATTACGTTATGCGGAACCTCACTAGTGTTTCTGAAATTCCGAAATTAATCTGAGATAGAGATTCCTGAGAATCATCCGCCCCGGAGAGGCCGTCGGCGTTACGATGTCGAGAGCCGGGTCAATGCTCTACCGCGAAATGAAAATCGGCTAGTATTTGTTGCCACCGCGTGAGCTATCCCGATGGATCTTTGAACGGAAGCAGCTATTTTAGGCTGCTATGATCTGTGCAGAGAAAGGCTGCGAAATGGGATAAACCTTGAAAAGTGTGGCAAAGCCCAAACAACGGTGAGAAGTTCACATCGAGGGACCGAATAGTTACATGTATGTTCAGCGGAGTTGAGACTTCTACTTGCAAACGCGATCGGAAGTTCTTTACCATCTGGGCCAATTTGGGTGAGAACTGCCCCTAAGCCGGTGTTGGATGCATCCGTGTCTACAATGAATGTCTTCGTGAAATTGTGAAACAGGGAAACGTTGCAAAATAACAGTGATAGCATTCCTGACTCATGACTTGTGCTCGTGCAAAACCATCACCAGTTTGTCCTGCAGCTCGTCTGTCCACTTGAATCTTTTTGCACATGTGGAATTCTTCCGCTTGACACTGTTCATTGGAGGGGTCAACACAGGTATGCTGCCGGCACTACAGCATTGCTCGTCATCGGGAGGGGGTTCTGGCAAGCTGCCGGCACTACAGCATTGCTCGTCATCGAAAGGGGGTTCTGGCAAGCTGCCGGCACTACAGCATTGCTCGTCATCGGGAGGGGGTTCTGGCAAGCTGACCCTCCTCCGCAGTCAGAACGTTAACCATAATGAAAAGCTGAGAAACTGGAAAAAAAACTTCCACAAGAACACGCTTTCCTCGCAAGAGAGGAAGCCAAGCAGCAACGCATCCAACTGATCAAGGTGACTCCAATCTCTTTTATCCCCACCCAGTTGTTTGATGTTCCTTGGTGGAAGGGTGCGGCACGCGCACAATTCAACATTAAAACTCTGCGCGACGATCATGGAGTCCGCCGCTCAGGATGTGAAGCGGGTAAATTGGACGGTGGCATGAATGCTGCATGGTGAACAGTTCTTTGAAACGTGTAGGATTCACATGGTAGATGCTCATCACCAGGTAAGATGCACATGTGCATTCACACGCAGCTGTATGACGATAGTGTTGCAGCTGCAAACGATGAAAAATTACGAAAAAAATAAATATATCTATATATAGACTCAGACTACGAGCAAGAATTGTATACGATCGTAATCGGATAGACATGCAATGGCCGACGGTCACATACCTTGTACGAAGCAATGGCGCAAGGAGATGAAGAGGGATGTCCATCTCTTTTCCGACTAAACGACTAGGCTAAAATAATTCCGGAACTACATGAAAAAAGGAACACTGTCACTACGAAATGATTTGAGGAAATGAAGATCGCTTCGATATACGTGCATACCACTTGCCCCGACGAGTTTGAAATTTTCAAGTTCGTACGCATCAAACCACAAAGCCAGTCAAAACGGGAATCGTCTGCAGGATACACATCAAAAGCGCGCTCGAACCCTCGCTTCTGACGTACGCGGGTCAAAAGGTTACGAGGAGTGCGACCCGTCGTACGCGCGCACCGTCTACATCAACCAGAGAGTAGCAAAATACCTTATTTTCCCACTCCTCGCGATGCTCATAATACGCACAGCGTACTCAGATCAGGAGCAAGTTTCTGGAATCAACTAGAACAGGACGCAGGCGAGGTACTCTAGATTCTTTTCCTTCTACTTGCTTATACTTTATTTTCCTTCGATGAAGAAAGGTGGAAGTAAGCTTGCTTAGTTGAACGCACATTTAGCTACAAGATGTCTCAGCCAAGTCGAGTGATGCGAGTGTTCGAGTTCAAGCTCGAGCATAATGCGAGAATGCTCAGGAACTTTTTCGGCTATGGGTCCAAAAGCCCCGCACCCGAATATCTGCTCTCACATTAGGCTCTGCGTTAGCAGTGCAGTAGCTACGGTATTCACCAGTGTTACAGTGATAGCTTGCAGAGTCGGCTCAATTAATTATTTCCACGTCATTGTGGATTTCCTTCAAGCATGAGGCGATGATATCGGTGACCTCATCATGGCGCATGTGTGTGAAGCCCGGCAACTTTCATATCTGGGCATGGTCAACAGTGAGTGTGGGTGGGTGTGCATATGTATTTATGCGTGGATTTGTGTGTGTGCGTGTGTATGCGTGTGCATACACGTGTGCGTGGGTGTTCTTATGTGGCTACAGTTGATCTGGTGGAGAGTGGTGACACAATGCGCGCTGCTGGCTTGCACGCAATAGATGAAATATTGAAATCTGAGGTACTGTCATTGAATCTTGACTACTGTTTGTTGGCTCTCGTCCGTGTGTCTACTCTAGAGCACCATATTTATCCATTATTGGCATATACTTGCATGACATTGCAGCATCGACATGTGCTATTCTTTCTACTGAAGTATTATGTTGAGTGTTTTAATTTGAACACAGTGCAGTCCTGATGTTTGGACTTTTCTGTAAACACAATCCGTTATCTATTTACAGATTCAAAGGGAAATAGGATTGTGAGGAAACCAAAACCCATGTGTGAATAAGGCTGTCTGTATGTGCATTGTATGTGTTGTGTTGCAGGCTGTACTTATTGCCAACAAGAACTCTCAACATCAGGTAGGGTGATTATGCGTTTTTTCTCTCTCTCTCCCTCTCCCTCTTTTTCTCTCTCTTTCTCTCTCTCTCTCTCTCTCTCTCTCTCTCTCTCTCTCTCTCTCTCTCTCTTTCTCTCTCTCTCTCTCCCTCTTTCTCTCTGCCAATGCCACTGTGCTCTTATGCTGTGGTTGTTTACTTGTGATCTTGTGATGTTACGTGCACCGTCACCGGTACATGTGCAGTGTAGCTGGCATCATGACATGTGCAGTGTAGCTGGCATCATGACATGTGCAGTGTAGCTGGCATCATGACGTGTGCAGTGTAGCTGGCATCACGACATGTGCAGTGTAGCTGGCATCACGACATGTGCAGTGTAGCTGGCATCATGACATGTGCAGTGTAGCTGGCATCATGACATGTGCAGTGTAGCTGGCATCACGACATGTGCAGTGTAGCTGGCATCACGACATGTGCAGTGTAGCTGGCATCATGACATGTGCAGTGTAGCTGGCATCATGACAACTACTTACTGTGGTAGTACACTGTAGTATTGTAGCTGTCAGCTGATATGGAGGAATAACTCAGCTGATATGGAGGAATAACTCAGCTGATATGGAGGAATAACTCAGCTGATATGGAGGAATAACTCAGCTGATATGGAGGAATAACTCAGCTGATATGGAGGAATAACTCAGCTGATATGGAGGAATAACTCAAGAAAATTTCAGCATTCACACTTTCAGGATATTTTCGCTCTGTTTAAGGTGCACTTTTTGTTCACATTTGTGACCGTGGTGTTATAGTTGGTGGATAATCCTGTGACTCCACATGGTAGGGAACTTCTTCATAATCCTGTGACTCCACACGGTAGGGAACTTCTTCATAATCCTGTGACTCCACACGGTAGGGAACTTCTTCATAATCCTGTGACTCCACACGGTAGGGAACTTCTTCATAATCCTGTGACTCCACACGGTAGGGAACTTCTTCATAATCCTGTGACTCCACACGGTAGGGAACTTCTTCATGATCCTGTGACTCCACACGGTAGGGAACTTCTTCATGATCCTGTGACTCCACACGGTAGGGAACTTCTTCATAATCCTGTGACTCCACACGGTAGGGAACTTCTTCATAATCCTGTGACTCCACACGGTAGGGAACTTCTTCTCGGACAGTGCTCGATACTTGAGGGGTAAAGTGTTTCAACGTACTTCGAAGTAGAAGGAGGAACGCTGGAATATGATTTTTCATGGCCGCCTTCTCCCATGATGTGTAGACTGTAGTCATGTGTTATATAATATACATCTACATGGTCTGTATGGTCTGTATGCTCAATAGCAATGATGTGTGTTATACATGGCCTGTGTACTGTAATCTACAGGATCTTGTCAAGGTGATTTCTTCTCGTGTGGAAGGTGCCATCATTGCCAAGCGGTGGGTTTTGTGTTGTAGCCTCTAACACACTAGTCTACTCTGACACACCAGTTGGCCGAATCCTAGGTCTAAAACATGTTACTTTGTGTTACTGTTTGTGTTACTGTTTGTGTTACTGTTTGTTCGTGTTGACCTCCTACACAGAGGTGCTTTTAATGGTGATTGTTTGTGTTTGTGCTGTTGTTTGTGCTGTTGTTTGTGCTGTTGTTTGTGCTGTTGTTTGTGCTGTTGTTTGTGCTGTTGTTTGTGCTGTTGTTTGTGCTGTTGTTTGTGCTGTTGTTCTTTTGTCATTGACAGTATTGGTGTTCATTGCTAGTGTGTGTGTGGATGCTGTTGCTAGTGTGTGTGGATGCTGTTTTTCTTGATGTTCATTTTTGGTTTGTGTGGATGGTGATCTTCTGTATAGATATGTCATGGTGGAGTACAACTTGAGGCGTGAAGATTTACCCAAGGCAATTCAGGTTGCCCCAGGCAAGGTAAATTACATTTAAGCAATGTTAGGATGGCACCAGGCATGGTCAGATATGGTCTTGTGGTCTCAATCCTTTGTAACGTGTGCAAAACCCACCACATACTTTCTACTTTCTGTAAAAGTTCATCTGTCCTGCCGAGTTAGCAACGCCTTACTTTTAAAATATACCTTGCTGATAGAAACGTCGTATTTCTCATCACCCAAAATAATACTTGTAGGGTTAGGGTCATCCAGTTGCATAGACAACCAGGAATGGCATAGAACAGAGGATGCATGAACAAGGTACAATCTGTATAGTATAGTGCACTAATCTGATGTCATGATTTCTGGTGGTTATCGGGACTTTGTGTAAGATTCCTTTCTCTTGTGCGTTCTTCTTGTTCTGTTGCCTAGCGCTCTCCCACTCTGGCTCCATTGGATGATCCAGATTGGGTTGCTGTCAAAGTCATGGTTCCTAATCACGACCTTGGCAATATCTTGGACAGTTTGAAAGGTAATGGTGTACGGCGAGCATGTGCCTGCATACACCTCATATGCGTCTTTCTACCTTGCAGACCTTTAGTCCTAGAGTTCAGTCCCAATATCCATCGTACTATCACACTGAACATTGCCATTCGAAACATTCTCAACTTGAATACTGTACTCGGAGCTCTTTCTTCCGGCTAGAGTAACATGTCTAGTGTGTGAATGACACACGTAATCCGAGAAGGGGGTAGCCAATTTATTGGTAAGATACCATTCTGGAAAGTCCCCCAGTACCTAGGCTATAGTATCTGGAAGGCTTCTTGCTAATGTAGTTTCATTTCAATGGGAGAATGTTGGAACTGGCCGGTAGCTCGTTTCCACAGCTCTGCAAAATATCCAACTTCAGCTACACTCCGGGTCATTGTTGTCTGTGAGGTTAATGTGCGTGGGATTGGACATGGGAATGAACTTGGAAACGGTTGTGTCCATGTGTTGTGCGTGCGTGCATGCACGTGTTTATGTGTGTGCGTGCATGCACGTGTTTATGTGTGCGCGTGCGATACACAGCCATCACTGTGTCTGTGCAGACCTGGGTGTACTTGGTGTGCATGCATTCATATAAGTATGTGTTGTTATGAATATGAGCGTATGGGTTTGCTAAAGGCAAAAAAGAAAGAAAAAAGACGAGTTGTTTTGGGGATTCTTCAATGCAGTACATGCATGAACGTCGTCCACACCAGTCTAAAAGAACATAGCGAAAATTTCCGAACCGAGCATTTTCGTTCCCTTCTGGGGAATGTGTGTTGTATTGATGCGCGTGGTATGGATGTGTGTGGTATGGATATGTGTTGTATTGATGTGTGTTGTGTGGATGTGTGTTGTATTGATGTGTGTGGCATGGATATGTGTGTGGCATGGATATGTGTTGTGTGGATGTGTGTGGTATTGATGTGCGTGATATTGATGTGTGTTGTGTTGATGCGTGTGGATATATGTGCAGCTGTCGGTGCTCTGGACATTGTTGTCTACAACCTTAGCAACACTCGGCCCTGATCATCTCTTCGCTGACGACTTCCTACATACCGGTGCAGCATATGGCGAGAACACTGGCTACACCACGTTTCCCTCTACTATCTGCACTGCCATGGGTTGCAGCACTACTAGTACAGCGCACTGTGCACATGTAGGTAGGTCGTTATGCTTGCTACCCTGCTTTCAGTGCTCACATTAGCAATTTTCATGCTGCTTTTCTCTTATATCCGTGAACGCTTCATTTCATTTTTGGTATTTATTTTCTTGCAGATTAGCTTTCTCAGAGAATGTACTCCATCCCATTTGCCTCGGCTGGTCCTACATGCGCTTGCTACTGTTCACTACTACATACATTTTGCTTCGGCTGGTTTTATGCTTTGGCAATTTCCCTAAGGTTATTAAGTTATTTTTCCACAAAGTTTGTAGCGTTCTCAAGCTACTTAACTTAAGGCCGTTTTGGAATAAATTTTACTCTGCGTACCTGCTGAGATATTTTTTACAGTTGCTAGGTAGTTGCTAGGCAGTAACTGGCAGGACATTATGGCCACCTGGTCGCGCTGTGTGCCCATTGCCAGATAGGGAGGGCCCTGACTTGTTGCTTGTGTTGAGCTGGTCGTGCGATACATGATAGTATAGCCATTGGCATCAATCACACAGCCTACACGTACAGACGTGAACGACTATGCTGCTGATTTGTTGAAAAGACTCTTGCGCCACGTCTGTGTGGTGTTAGCAGCCGCTGTTGTGAGGAGAATAACAATCATGATCCACATCAGTAAGATACACGTCCGTCCATGGTACCTGGCAAGTACAATGATTATGTGTTGTGCTCGCGATAAGTGTTGCTATGCCATTGTCATCACAGGGATGCTATGCCATTGTCATCACAGGGATGCTATGCCATTGTCATCACAGGGATGCCAACCGTGTGGTCGATTGCTCCAGAATTGGGAAGTTTTAAAATAACGCTACTTCCAAGTATTTTTAAAAGTAGTTTGCGATACAGTATTATAATTATTATCGTTTTTGATCAAGGCTCAAATTAGCAGCGAGCAATGCAGACGGAAAGGTTTCAAGAAATAGCAGTCGCCTCGCAAAGTTCTACTGGAAGAAGGCAATACGAATATAATAGTCTCCGTTCACAGGAGAAGAAGGCAAGTGAAAATGAATAGATTACTCTGATAAAAGCAAGTACGTGTCCAGCTGGCAAACAATCCTACGGAGTGAACTTGAAAGCGTTGAATCCCTCTTCACAGAAGGTATCCGTATAGGGAACACAGTTTATGTAGGAGCACCAAGAGCAGAACTCAGCATTCTGAGTGTTGTAGAAGACGACAAACCCAACAAAGAACATTGCAGCCACTAGTAGAATCGCCACGAGAACGAAGCAGCACTTTCGCGCAGCGTCAAACTTTCCGAATGTAAGATAGGGCACGAAAATGAATGAGGATATCAGACCAAAGATGAAGCCGCCAACGTTGGCAAAGTTGTCCAGGTATGGAGTAGTGCCCATTGCTGTAAAACAAAGCAGCAGAATACGAAACACAAACGACCTCAGCACCTCCTCACGGCAAGCAAGGAAGCAAGAACTTGCACACTGGGTTTGAAAAGAACAACCATCTGCAATAACTGTATCACGGTTTGGTGGAAATAGCTGAAGACTGAGTTGGTTACTCCCAACGCACGTGGAGTCCCTGCCCCTACCGACTGACTGACACTTCTCTGGGTGTCGGCAGGAAGTGCACTATGCAATGTTGAGAGCAATCATGCATCTTCTTAAAAAACAAAACAAGAATGCCTATCCTATGTGAAGCGCAGACAAGCCCAATGCCGTCGCAGAGAATCCCCCCAAAAAGACTAGAGCCGTAGATGGCCATGTCACGGAGAGCTTTGTGCCTATGTTGTTTTTAAAGTTCAAAACAGAATGAAAGTTTGTCCCACTGAGGCCTTACCCAAAGCTGCGATGAGTGTGATCAACAAACCCACTAAGTTCTGACAAGGGCTTTTTATCGCTTGCCATCTCTGCACCAGCTCCACAAATCGAATGCTAAACAAGCCGAAGACAGCTCCAGAACAGCCAACCTGCACCACACAGCAAAGTCATACCAACAGAACATTTAGCTTTTATGAATGTAGGAACTCGCTGGAGGGGATTGCGGAGTAAATGAATGACGTATACCACATTCTCCCAGTCGCCAAGGCTACCTGGATAAATACAACTCTCTAACATACGTCCAGTGAAGTTGAAAGCAGAACTACATGTACGACGTGTATACCCAGTGGCCCAACAAGCCCACCCAGACTATGTGCAGTCACGCTGCGATGTGATACTGTGCAGTGACATTGGGCATACCATGCCGCACACAGTCAATGAAGTGATGGGTTGTGAGGGAAAGTGGATGTAACAGCAACAGTACCTGTAGCAAACAGTGTGACCGCGGCATGTACGAGTTCTACTTTGAAGTGATGCCCGTGTATACTTATGTCCGGCTGCCATGGTAACGTTATACTGCATGGGAATATGTACTCGCGGCATACCCCGGTATACTCCGCGCCGTTGCCATGACTGGACACAAGGTGTAGCTACATGTCACATGACTTAGTTCTACATACACGAAGTGCTCACCTGTGATGTGCTTGGGTCGAATATGCCACTGACCAGATAGCCTCCAACACCACTGGCTGTGTAGATCAACATGATTCGTAGCCAGCTGCGGTCACACACATACACACCGGCGTAGTGATGACAGTAGGTTGACAGCCGGCTCAGCGGCAACTAATGGTGGTAAACCAGGCTCAGGAACTATCTCGTTTTTTTCAAGTAACGGTCGGTGTTGTACAGTAGTGACTGCAGTAGCCACTGCATGCATGCAATAGCCACTGTGTGCATGCAATAGCCACTGTGAGCATGCAGTGGCTACTGCATGCATGCAGGACATGATTGAGATTGAATGAGACTCCCTACATGTACGGTGAGTCTTATACACATGGAGAAAGAATGGTCACCACATCTCAATGTCCAGCACTTTCAACCAGGACAGGTAGCCTTCAGAATCTCATGTCAAACACACCAGTACTACATCTACTTCTAATTGGAAGTTTCAATGCAGAATGATATGTGTGGGAAGTATGTGTAAAGAAGTCAAACCTGAATTCTGAAAAATTGGTAGTATCAAGACAGGCTGTACAAATAGTGTGTTCTGAGCAAACTTATCATAAAGTGCAAGGAGAGCAGTACACACCCGGCTCACCCAATAACGGAACTGTACATTACCCAATAATGGTAGGGCTTTGCCCAAATAATGGGGGCTTTTACCCAATAATGAGGGCTTTTACCCAATAATGGGGGCTTTACCCATTAATGAGGCTGCACCTTTGCTAACAATGGGGCGTCGGCGGCTTACCCAATTTGTTTTTCAATCTTGACACCCAGGTAGAGCTGAGCACCTAGGAAGAGAAGTGCTGAGATGACACCGCTTTGCAGGAAGATGGCGGTGAAGAAACGAAACCACTGGTTGGCACTAGATACCGTGATTTGGCCTTTCTCCAGTGGCGTGTTGCAAACACTGCCAACACAGTTAGCATCACGACATAGCACCTGCACATAATAAACATGGACACATCAACATCAGGGCCGCGGATTAGCACCTGCACATGATAAACATGGACACATCAACATCACGGCCGCGGATTGCATCAGAATTACAAGACATGGGCCCTCGGGATGCATTCCCAATCTCTTGTTTTATTGTTGTTGTTCTGATTTGCACTTGTTTTTCTTTCTTCTTCTTTTTTTTCTTTCTTTTTTTTGCCATGGCTGGCTATAATCACCCTCACCTCCTCCTTGATTGGCCTTGGCCATGAGTGTGTGTGTAATAATAATAATAAAATTCAGATTCTACAATTATTTGGATAAAGGAGTTCAACAAATTTAAATACACAAAGTTTTTGCAATCGCATAATCTATTATGTACCTGTAGATGATGAACTCAGACGCGTAAACTTGCAAGTACAAATATTGAGCAAAGAGTCTACAAGACCCATGTCTTGTGGATTCTCGCTGCATTCCCGTTCACCGTCCAGAGATACTAGAGTGCATGCAATCTTTTATCTGGAAAGTTTTACAGGTAACCATGCACATCATTGTAAAGGCATATCTGCACTAGATGTGGCATGTAGCCTGGAAGAAAATTAATAAATGGGAGATGTGCAGGTCACCCACCTTGTCAGCATGATACACGCCATCAAAGAATGTGCAGTTTTCTTCTGATGTTATAACACATGATGCATCCAGGCCGATGCAGCATGGACGCAGGACAATACCGTTCCTACAGAACTCATTGCTGGTGCTGCACTGCTTTGCTGATCCCAGGATTGTGCAGCTGGCAGAACTACGAACAACACAGAAATCACATTAGTACCATAGTGACTATGCAACTAGCAGCAATCCTGGTATTCAGTGGAGTGCACGAGTCACAGTCATACCGTTACTGGTACTTACTTGCATTCACTGGGGTCCATCATACCACAGGTGTTATTGACAGACCTAGAGGCACATAGGAACTGGTTCTCACGATCTGCTTCAGCAGCCATCCTCACCAGCAGTGCCGTATCCGTTCTCATACACTGCACCATCCACACACGCACACAGACGCACGCACGCACACACACACACACACACACACACACACACACACACACACACACACACACACACACACACACACACAGACATAATATTATACTTACAGTACCGCATATCCACAGAGACATACACACCGTGGCACAGTGTTAAATAACTTTTAAAATGTTGACGCGCACACACACACACACACACACACACACACACACACACACACATACACACACACACACACACACACACACATATACAGTAACGCTAATAGCTTCTCGCACACATGTGACATGTGACATGTGATAAGAGGCATAGGACCTACCAGTGTAAACTTTGCTCCGATGCTGACCATGTATTTAGCACTGGGACCGATGAAGAAATTGAACGGGACTTCCCTTTTAACATTGGCTGGAATTCCTGTCATTGGGTTGGTAATCAGCTGCTCTTCCTCTTTCGGGGTGAAAGCTATGGGTGCCAGTTTGCCTTCGATCAGTGTGTAAATAGTGATTCCAACCTGTACAAGGCTGATGAAGATGATGAAGTATGGGCGGAAAGTTGGCAGTGCATCGATACGCCGTTTCACCGATGGACGTCTCCAAGCGGGCAATCTACGCCCACCACGGCGGCGTTGCTCTTGACGACCACGTTGCTGCTGCTTGCTCGGCTGATCCAAGCGCGTCTCTGCCACACGCATATGGCCGCCGCCGTCATGTTCCGACCCAGTGCCTCCGTCAGCATCATCATAGGCTGCTAGCTTGTGATAACCACGTGCGCCCTCACGTTTAGCATACATACCTGATTCTTGCCAGCGCTTTTCATCAGCCGGACTAGCACCAAACAGTCCTCCGACAGTCTCCGTTACTTTCGAATACCTGCTCTGACGTCGCTGAAGTGGTGGTGCTGATGGCATATCGGATAAATCGCCAGCAAATCCATCTCCATCTTTGCCCATTTCCCCTACGGCTGAAGCAGCGCCATAGTTCCGATGGAGTCGCGTTTCGTGCGTCATGATGTCACGTATTTGTGGACTGACCGACTTGCACTGCCCTCTCGGCTCTCGCCCCTGATTATGGCGAATCCGGAATTCACAAATGAATAGAATTACCGGTAGCAGGGAAGGCAAGTCTTAGCGATTCAGACCGTAGCGTAGTGAAGATATCGATCACACAAGTAGAACATCCAAACAGCCACCATGCAGTTGACAGTCTGTAGCTACTGGTAGTGCGAGTGCACAAAAACTTTACTCCTCCAGTTCCATTCGACTCCTGACAGTAGCGATCGATCCGAGACACATCATCCAGTTTATCTCACTGGCACTTTTACTTCGTTCCTCTCCAGGAAGTAGCTAGCTCACCCAGGCGCAGCACGGCCTATTCCTTGCTAAAGAATACCTCATTAGTTCACGTTTGTGTAGCGAAAGATTCCGTTCTCCTCATTACAAGCTGAGAAGCCCTTTTGAACTGCAGTGTGGGCCAGGTGAGATCTTGCTACAAAAAGACGTGTCCTGGTACCGGGTAGATAGACCTGTGTGTAGGCTGTACTGTGTCAGTGGGTACCAAGCACTGTATCGACGCCATGCGCCAGTGCTTGTCACCGACTCGACTGTCATGACACTACGTGTATACAGTCACTCGTTGTAGAGCTGCTGTCGACATGTCGTAGATTTACAGACTACAAAACTCGGTGCAAGACCATGAAGACTGTCGACATGTCGATGTCCTCGATGCATGATGACACGAGTCATGGAGTATGATGTAGCTTTTGGCAGTTTTGCCTCTTCAACTAATTACTTTTTCAAGGCTTTTGTGTTTGCTCTTTGCACTGGCCCAGCAGGCAGCAGGCCGGCCAGGCCCAGGCCAGGGTCTCACACCAGGCCAGCGTCAGAGACATGTCGACAGAGTCTGATGCTGTGCCAGCAGGAAGTACGTCTACCTGCACTTCTTCAAGTTCCGGCTTTGGAGATGTCATGCGTGTTGGTGGTACCAAGAGTACATACACCTTTTTTTTGTGGTACATGTACTCATGTACACGTGTATTGTGGTTACGAGATGATGCCAGTGCCAGTGGAGCCTCCAACTAGGGAGGAGCAGGAGGAGGGATTGGTCTGGGTAAACCATGGTTAATGTGAACGGTTTGTTTGTATGCCATGGCTAACAGTGAACTGTTTGTTTGTATGCCATGGCTAACAGTGAACTGAGTTCGTATGATTACATGTATGGTAAACCTTGAACAGTTTGTGAACCATGCTGATCCGCTGCCTCTCTGTGAACCATGCTGATCCGCTGCCTCTCTGTGAACCATGCTGATCCGCTGCCTCTCTGTGAACCATGCTGATCCGCTGCCTCTCTGTGAACCATGCTGATCCGCTGCCTCTCTGTGAACCATGCTGATCCGCTGCCTCTCTGTGAACCATGCTGATCCGCTGCCTCTCTGGGAACCATGCTGATCCGCTGCCTCTCTGTGAACCATGCTGATCCGCTGCCTCTCTGTGAACCATGCTGATCCGCTGCCTCTCTGTGAACCATGCTGATCCGCTGCCTCTCTGTGAACCATGCTGATCCGCTGCCTCTCTGGGAACCATGCTGATCCGCTGCCTCTCTGTGAACCATGCTGATCCGCTGCCTCTCTGCCCCTCGTGGGCCTGCTCAAAGACTGGTCTGTTTAGCAGGACCTTCGTCAACGTTTTAGTCCAATACACGTCGTTGAATAGAACTAGGTCAAGAGCTAGAAGTTGCGACCCCACTCTCGTTGACGGTTCACAACCAACCAACCAACCAACCAACCAACCCGCATCACCCGGGCCCCGGAACGCTTCCAAATCCAATGTTCCGTTCAACGCAATGCCAATGCAGTGGCAATACTGCAATAGTGCCTGGGCCATGGTATGCTACATCAGTGCATTGGCCTGATGCCGTGATGGGGTTCCAAGGCGGCGGCACTCAGTAGGTTTTGTTGATGTACACGAAAGACGAAGTGCTTTCGCTATGGCCTGTGTCTCTCCAGCGGACTCCGTGGATGCATGGTCAGTGCTCACACCACTAAAATCACGTTGCGCACCCAATGATCCGTGGCCATCGTCCTTGACGGCTCAATAGCTGCATGCATTGGCTGCACCAGCCCGACCTGCACTAAGCATGAGGATATCGGCATTCACATACTGACATAGTCCCAAAATGCCAATGCCTACATAACCAATAACATAACGACAGTTACGTCGTTGCTTTGTGGTGCCATCGTCAAATACATCATGGAAAGGATGTGATGTACATGAACAATGAGCCCGTCAAGAGTCTGATTACTGTCTTGCAAAGGTTAGAGTGGGCATGCCCTGCTTGATCCCCCACATCCTCGGTTATTCTGGCAATGCCATGATAATAATAATATGACTGACTTGCGACTGACCAGCGGGCAGTTACGGTCGGTACCCGTACAAAATCATGGCACGGTGATCCCACACCACAGAGCCAGTCATCATGATCATAGAGCGATGAGCGTTCCCGGCCCAGTGTGACTGACAAAATGCCCGGTATGTAGATTGCACGTGTTGTTTTGGTCGGGCCATCTACGGCGTTTTTTCCTATGTTGTTAGCCCTCAATCTTAAAAGCAGCAGCGCAGGAGCGCGACTTAGCTCAACTAGACTACAAGCGACAAGTAAGCGTACAGTTCTACTAGTGCGGCAGTGGGACTGGAGACCAATGGCAATGTTGAAACTAGCATTGTGAAACAAAAAGTCCTTGTTCGCGGTGGTGACGTTGAAGACTGCGTGTGAAGTAGTTGTTTCCGACGCATCTTCTCTCTACCTTCTCAGGGTATCATAATAATATCACCAGCGGATAAGTATCGCCATTCGTAAGGTATGGCAAGACCAGCAGGGTATAGACGTCTGGCCCCGGCGGGTAACCATGCATCTTCTTCCTCTACCAGAACTATCGTCCTTTTCGAATTGGAGAATTTGAGGCGAGATCACCCGCAAGACATGAGCGATAGTCAGGATGAGCGCCTGCTGCAGTCTGCAGCCAGTTGTTTGAATAGTGCTGATGAACTACCTGATACTCACACATCGCGATCTGATTCTGTCAGGGGTGTCCATGGTGTCGCTGCTGCTGGAGGTATTGTCGCTATTCGTACCCCGCCGCCGCCGCAGCTTCCCAGCAGAAGAGAGGCACGGCACGATGAGGACTATGAGTGTGAGCAGGTGGAGGCGAAAGGTCGCTGGCGGTTTGCTACTGTGTGTATTTCCATTCTATTCGCTGGAATCATGCAAATCGCCGTCACAACTCTGAACGTCAATGCTAGGGTAAGCCACCGGAATGATGGTTGTAGTCATGCACATGTATACTGTACAGTCAGTTATGTACAGACATTCTAGTCATCCAGTCCTTGAACTGTTACCATGGTTACTTGAAGCACTCATCATGATCATGCTGATTTACATGTAGGCTTGTAGGCTGTAGCTGATCCGTGCTGCCAGGAGTAGATTGACAAACGACGTGTATGTCTGTGTAGTGTGTAGACCTACTAGTACATGTACAGTGGATATCGGTTATAAAGTCATCGGACATAGTGATAAACCGGCTATATTGATACAAAATGAAAATATCAAAAGCAAAACCAGAAAAAGCCAGTCAAATTATCATTATAACCAATATATCGTATATAGCGATAAATCGGCTATAAGGATACAGAATCACCATTCAAAACACCTCTTTGTGCAGAAAAATTATCGTCTATAGTGATAGCAACACACGAGTGTGAGGCATTGATGTCTCGATTTGGAGCCACATGTGTGTTGTCATAGGGTATTCTGGTCTGGTGCTTCCTGGATGATGTCTTTGGGCCAAGAAGTTCTTCACTCTAGACTGGAGAAGGTGCAGTAGCATCCATCACGTATCAGTACGCTACATTAGCGCTATCGAGTACCCACACGTGTATAATGTGTATGTATGACGCGCGCAGTTGAAAATCGCCTGTAGTGATATACCGGTTATAGTGATAAAATGTGAAAAATCAGAAGGGCACGTTATAACCAATATCTACTGTACTAGTAGTCTTGGGACTGCGCGTTGTGTTCTACCTGTTCAGCACGTAACGTAACGTCGTTGAACAGCCCTGCTGTGTTTCAACATTCCCTGTTCATTTCTGACTACCCCCCCCCCCCCCCCCACACACACCTCAACTTGCAGTTGCACATCAGTAATTCACTCAACAAAGTCTGTGGTTTGCTACTCATGTATCCATTCTAACTGTCTAAGTATCGTATATTCCGGACTATCAGCCGCACTGGAGTACATGTATAAGCTTCACCCAGATTTTTGTCACGAAAAGCAGACATGTACCCTGTTTATCACCATGAATTTGGCACTGGTAGTATAAGCCGCATGCACCGACTGTTCACCGACTGTTCACCGACTGTTCACCGACTGTTCACCGACTGTTCACCGACTGTTCACCGACTGTTCACCGACTGTTCACCGACTGTTCACCGACTGTTCACCGACTGTTCACCGACTGTTCACCGACTGTTCACCGACTGTTCACCGACTGTTCACCGACTGTTCACCGACTGTTCACCGACTGTTCACCGACTGTTCACCGACTGTTCACCGACTGTTCACCGACTGTTCACCGACTGTTCACCGACTGTTCACCGACTGTTCACCGACTGTTCACCGACTGTTCACCGACTGTTCACCGACTGTTCACCGACTGTTCACCGACTGTTCACCGACTGTTCACCGACTGTTCACCGACTGTTCACCGACTGTTCACCGACTGTTCACCGACTGTTCACCGACTGTTCACCGACTGTTCACCGACTGTTCACCGACTGTTCACCGACTGTTCACCGACTGTTCACCGACTGTTCACCGACTGTTCACCGACTGTTCACCGACTGTTCACCGACTGTTCACCGACTGTTCACCGACTGTTCACCGACTGTTCACCGACTGTTCACCGACTGTTCACCGACTGTTCACCGACTGTTCACCGACTGTTCACCGACTGTTTTGACTGTTTTGTGGGAATTACTGGTGTTTAAAATGCGGCGTATACTCCGAAAAAAAACCCTGGAAACTGTACTTGTATTAAGTTGTAAGTTGTAATAATAACTTACATAACGATTGGGAGCAACCACTGTAATAACCTATGTATAAGCTATACGAATGTAGGCTAGTGCTGACTTAGCATGTCATGTGACAGTGTCATGTGACAGTGTCATAGTGTACATGTGTCTACTGATGTTCACCGGCTTGCAGGACTGGAGCATGTACAGGGAAATGCCCGGGCTGCTATCTGCACTGTATCCTATTGTAGCTCTGACCCAGATAATCAGCATGCTCAGTGCTCTACGCTACTTGGCATCGGTAAGTCTTTGCCGTATAGCTAGCTGATCACTAGTCTATGGGATTCACATAAGAAGGATGATAGCATGTGCATGAGATGCTCTGAACTGAAGTAAGATAATTATATAATGAATGTGTATGTTGTCACCAGGGAGTAGTAAAATACATAGTATTTTACTACTCCTTGGTTGTCACTAATGACTTTGCATCAAGTTGTCTGGCCTAGTACAGTCAGTGAGTTAAATTGCCTGGAAGAATAGTACTGTCAGTGAGTAATGCATATAATGAGACATATCATACTCCACATTGCCAGTAGTACACTGTGTACGAAAAGAAGTCCAACCTTCCATGGAGTCACAGTTCAGTGCGTCTCTTTGTAGGCCTGAGTGAAATGGTCGTGTTCAAGCATACGGCTATCCTGCAATTACACATACTACATGTACTCAAAGTACTGTATTAGTATTCATCTGGCTACTCGGTACATCATTATTTTGTATCCTACTCGGTATGTCAGTGTCTTTACCTTGGCGTTCATGCGGCTACTCGATATGTCACTGTGTTGTTGTCACAGGATGAGAACATGTCGGTGCAGAAATGCCTTTCATGGACAAAGTTACTCACACCTTTGGTAAGTGGCCACTGACTGATGATGTACTGAATGCAATCCTTGTTACTGACCGATGATGTAATGCGACCATTGTTACTGGCCGATGATGTAATGCGAAGGTACATGTACATGTACTTGTGTAACCTAACGGCTTAGCACACCTGACCACTGTCTGTACATATACCGTAAAATCCCGCCAGAGCGCCCCTACCTCCTCGACGCTTCAGGTGGGAGGGGCGGATGGGGCGAGTCCTACTTGCCGTATTCAGTACTACATGAAAAAGTACTCACCCTACGAAAACTGTTCTTGCATCTCATACACCGACCAAAGGTCAAGAGCTAGGAGTCGTACAGACCCGTCAAAACTCAGGGTTTGTGCGATCCTTGGTCAAGAGGGTGGACACTGTTGCGTACATTTCCCGGCAACCGGATCGAGCACCCGTCTGCAGTACAGTACGGGATCACAGAGTCATACGAGGATACGATCAATCACTTCCCTGACAAGAAGTCAGGGAGGGGCGGATGGGAGAGACGGGGCGCTCTGGCGGGATTTCAACGGTAATTACATCATCTTTACTACACCAGGCTGGACCACCGGAAGCAGTTCTCGATTGGTCCGGTAGTATCATTGCCTTTCATACAGTTTGTAAATGATATGGTGGGTACACATGACTTTCATACAGTTTGTATATGATATGGCGGGTACACATGACTTTCATACAGTTTGTATATGATATGGCGGGTACACATGACTTTCATACAGTTTGTATATGATATGGCGGGTACACATGACTTTCATACAGTTTGTATATGATATGGCGGTTACACATGACTTTCATACAGTTTGTGTATGATATAGCGGGTACACATGACTTTCATACAGTTTGTATATGATATGGCGGGTACACATGACTTTCATACAGTTTGTATATGATATGGCGGTTACACATGACTTTCATACAGTCTGTGTATGATATGGCGGGTACACATGACCTCTATAGTAGGAAACATGTGTTGGTGGGCAAAAAGTTGGTCCGGTGATAACCTGACCAACCGGACCAGTTCCGTCGGCCCTGCTACATTCTCACAGTTCCTTAGCTTACCCACTGCATCTCTCCTGTTCTCTCGTGTCCACCAGGTCCAAGCACTATTGGGTGGGATTCTCTTCTCTGGTGTAGCAACGCTACACTACTATCACCATGCGAGAAGCTCAATCCATATCACCGAATTCCTGGAGTTGACTGCAGCATGCACCATCACTTCATGTGCGGTGACATCAAATCTCGATACTGCATTATACGGAGTCGTGCTGCTCTGGAAGAGGTTACCTCCTACCTTTCCTGGAATGGAGTTCTTCATCCTACCCGTTGTGTCGTCAATCGCTACGCTTGCTACGTGTCAGTTACTTCCAGCAGTGGGACTTCTTCTTCATGATCACCTCCACGAAGGTACTCTATAGCTAGTCCAGATAGTACTCTGTTAATAGCGACAACGCATGTAACCAAGTTTAGACAGTACTCTGTTAATACTCGACACAAGGCCGATTTTATTACAATCAGCAAAATGTTAATACTCTGTTACTAGTAATAGCGATAGAGCGTGTACCCAAGTTTAGACAGCAGTCTGTTAATAGCGGCAACGCATGTACCCCAGTGTGGCAGTGTGCCTTCAGTTGAGGTGTACATGTACATGTTTGCATGCCAGTATAATCTGACCACAGCTGCAGTACTCAAGTATTTACTGACTACTGCACTGTAGAACATGTCACGTGATAACACTCCATACTCCACTGTGTTGTGAGCACTTTCAATCGCTTGGCGCCAGCCTCTTTTTAAAAAGAGCCCCCACTGAAGCAATTGCCTAGGCTCCTGCAAAGTAGTTTGCTCATGCATAATCGCTGGCATCCTATGCCGATTACTGGTGCAAAAATGGTACTTCTTGGACTTAAACTGCTTTCTATACATTTCAGTTTGTCCACAGCTTATAAACATAGCACATACCGGCACCAGCAGAAAATGTCACAGTGATGTATGGCTGTGTTACATGCCATGCAACTGGTTGTTTGCCCGCTGTGATCATGTGACTGCCAATCTGTTGTGCAGGTGTGACATCATGTGTAGTGGTAGCAATGTTACTGCTTCTACCCATCTTTTCCTGGATGCTGTATCGAAGAGTGCAGCCTGCTGAAAGGCAAGGATGGCTTGGATCTGTTCTACCCCTCCTGGCATGGTGGTAAGCACGATCACTATACACTATACCGGTATATAGTGCAAGTGATCAGATGATGATACTCACCGTTGGCTCTATAGGATCAGTGGGTCGATATGGTCTATAGGGTATATCAGTTCTATAATTATATGAGCACTTGTACCCCCATCGCCACTTCTATATTTGTAAGCCCTTCATTGTCCTCTGCATTGCTTTTTTCTTATGGTTTGTTAGGTTGAGGAATTATAATAGTAAAAAAATGTCATAGGGTCAGAAATCCGTTGATCTTGGAGCTGCAGAGAGTGTTCAATGTCATAGACAGAGTTTAGTACATGGCAGATGCAGCGGATGACGTTCAGGTTGATTGTAACTCTGAGTTTCATGCTGCAAGGTAATCATCAGACAACTGATACCGGGTTCTACCCAACTTGGTCTATAGGGTTTGAAGGTTCGTTATGATTCATAGGGTCTATAGCGTAGATTCTATAGGGTCTATTGGTTTTAGGGTCTATAGGTTTCATATATTCTATAGAGTCTATATGGGTTATAGGGTCTATACTCTATAGGGTCTGGAGAGTCTATAGGGCTTATAGGGTCTGGAGGGTCTATATAGTCTAAGGGTCTATGAGGTTTATACTATAGGTTTTCTAGGGTTCATAGGGTCTCCAGGGTTCATAAATTCTACAGGGTCTATATTGGTTATAGGGTTTATAGGGTCTATGGGGTTTATACTAATATAGGTATATTGGGTCTATAGGAATCATAGGGTCTACAGGGTTAATAGTGTCTATAAGCCTTATACATTATAATAAGAGCGGCTTTTCCAGCCGTGCTGCTACCCACAGTCAACTGAGAAGTTGTGGCCAGGCACAAAGGATACATGGATGCGGCTAATGGGGTTTTTCATACCGACCTGTGGTCTCGGTGTTACCGCGAGCGTGCGCACCATGCTTCAGAAAGGAACTGTTATACTGTCCATGAATTTATTCTTGTGCGTTCTAAGCTGTTACATGAAGGTAGAGTAGAGAAAGTGTTGACTGATTGTGTGCGTACACTTGTGTGTGTGTGTGTGTGTGTGTGTGTGTGTGTGTGTGTGTGTGTGCATGCGTGTGTCTGTGTACACGTGCGTATGCGTGTATATGTGTATATGTGTATGCGTGTATGTGCGTATGTGCGTATGTACATGCGTACTCGTTTGTGCTTTCGTTTTCGCATTGCTGCAGCTGTCTTGGGATTGCCATCGATTCAAATCTTTGGATGTACACTGGAGAGTTGACCAGGTTGATGACTGTTATCAATGGTAAGCAACTACTGAGTGCACTAGTGGTCCATGAACTGATATGATTGTGACTCACAACCGCATGTACATCTACACCAGGAGGATCAAGATCTACCGTATTTTATGGACTTCTAGCCGCACTTTAAAACACGTGTAACTCATATAGCATATTGGATAGACCAGCGCTGCAGCGCTTCATGCATATGCATGTCTCAGTCAAGTGTGTCATTCAACTACAATGTCATTACGGTACCACACTCCATTATCACACTAGTGCGAAGATTCTACATGATGTCAGTACCGGGTGAAGGACAAACTAGGAAAATGTTGTTAGAAATTCAGTGGTGCTTCGCAACTGTGGAACCACTGGTGAGGTTTTTTATGCACTGGCACCTAGTACTAGTAGACTGATTTGATCATATTGAGTACGGAAGGTCAAACGCTTCACAGTCTGACGTGTGGCCCGCTTATACTCCGAATGTCAAGAAAAATACAAAATACAAATGTTGAGTCCGACAAGGGGGGGGGAGGGGGGGGGAGAGGGGGGTGCGGCTTAAGACACACGGCTAGTGTGGACTACCGTACTGGCAATATATGTTGCCGCGTAACGCGTAACGCAGGGGGGTGCGGCGTAACGCGCGACCAGGCTAGTGCGACAAATTTTCGTTGAGTTCGTAACGCGCGTCCGGCGGGGTGCGGCGATCTTTTCATTGCAGTTTGCAAAAAATGATGCGGCAATAGCAAAAAAATGATGCGGCAATAGCAAAAAAGTGATGCGGCAATAGCAAAAAAAAGGACTGCGGCAATATAGAAACCTGTGTAACGGCTCCTGTGCGACTTTGCATGTAACGCCCTGCGTGCGGCAAACATGTGCCAATGTAACGCTTCATGGCCTCCCTGCGGCAACATATATTGCCAGTACAGTAGTCTTGATAGCCATGAGGCTGTGAGCCGCAGTCACTGTGACGATGTTGTTGTACTTGATTTCTTGCATGTATTCTTTACTGCAGGTGTTGTCATGAATCTGTTGATGATTCATTATCACGTAGCACTGCAACATCGACACACAATGGAGCATTTCCAGTGTCCCAGCGACACAGCTGCGTGCCACAGAAGAGCATTGACGTGCATCTACTGCTGTTGCAGGCAGTATGCTGGAAGAGGTATGTCTGCACTGTATAGAGGGTGCCCAGTCTCACTGTCCCTGTTTCACTACATGCTTATAGACCTGCGCGTGTGTGTTTGCTGATTTGCAAATCTGTCCGGCTATGTATGCCTTGTTCACATGAAAGGGCCGCACTTTTATGCATCCTGACCCTGCTGAATAACATATCCCCAAGGATGTTCTAAGCTGGAGGCACAGGAGCACTGGGCTAAGGCACCATTTGCCACATTCTGGCTCGGATTTTCACTCACACACGCACACACACACATCATCATCGGCCTGAAGATGTATTCATGATATGTTGCCGGCGATAAGTAAATTATCGTGTCCGTTCCCGAAGGGAACTCATGACGGCCGCTAATGCCCGGTAAACCCTAGCGGCAGATGCAGCGCCTAACGGTGGGATACCGGCACTAGTGCACTGCCATTGCTCTTAAAAAATTGCAATGCATAGAATGATTCTGATGTCTTACCAGTAATGCAATTCTTGTCTTGTCTTGTTGTCCTGGTACCTATGGTAGGTGTAGAAGTGACTGTAGCCTGGATTGGCCTGGCGATGTTCCCAGTCTTCTTGTTTGTACTGCTACTGGCATTGAGAGGCGTAGCAGGCAGCACTATCACTCCATTCAGCTTCAACTACATCAGCACAATAGTATCCCATGGCTGTCTGGTAAGCAAACAGTACTATAAGCTAGCTCCGGCACTGTGATTGCTTGTCAGTTGAGTAACACTATGATTATGTCCCTGGTATTCGGTACTGTCGGGCGCCGAAGAACGGCCAGGCTAGAATTTCACCAATTTTTAAGAACAGTCTAGGCTGGATCTTTTTGCAGATGAGAACGGAAACCATAATGTACAGCATAATGTACACTCAGACGTATAACTCTGCATAAATGTACATGTAAGACTGTACCATTGAATAAGAACGAAACCGCGGTGTACGCTAGAAATAAGAACGGGCTAGGCTTGAACCCTGAGCCCCCCCCCCCCCCCCCCCCGTTCTTTGGCACCAGACAGTACTGTACTAGCACTTGTTTTTCAAGTTCAAACTGTCTGGCAACCTAGACTGACTAGACTGACTGTGAGAGACTCAGTTGAAACCTGAAGAGCTGATGACCCCCGTATGGTACACTGTAACCGACCGTGATTCCCTCACTGACTGATAAGAGTGAAGTGAGTAGTGGTATGACAAGAGACTATAATGATTTGCAGAGGTGAGGATGTAGCACATACAAAAGGAATAGAATACGAAGCTTGTGTTGGCTGTGACTCCGAGTTTCACGCCTATGGCGATCATCAGACAGCAATGATTACAAAAACTCAATGAATGTTCTTGATATAGTGTGGTAAGGTGCCAGTGGAATCAGAGAATTTAAGCGCAAATAAGGTCAAGCGGTGATTCTATGCATGTGCTTGCAAGATTAGCGCCAGACGTCAGGTGTAATCCTGGTTTATGTAACTGGAGGTGTGAAGTTAGATAGGTAGAATTTGTTCTCATGTCTGCACTTGGCCACTAGCTCCGATCGCTTGTTGATGTTCACCCTTCTGTCAGCATGCAAGATCTCCAGCTTCTCACGCAGACAGAGAGGGCAGCGCTTGGTGGCATTGGAGTATGCTGGTGTTTGGGCGACAACTGACCAACTGATGCTGTACCCGGCATTCTATTCCTTTTGGATGTAGCACATATGAAGGCGTCGGTACAACACCACCATGCAAAGTTGCATATCATGAAACATGAAAAAAATTAATGTGATAAATAGGGCCCTAGGGGTCAAACGGGTGTACCTTTAACTAACGAACGGATAATTTTCTTAACGGGTGGGTTAACGGGTACCCTTTAGCAGCCATGTTTAATTTTTTGCGCAACTTTCACATAAATCAAGATTTTAATTCATCTGTTCTCGGCTTGCATTTTGATATCACATTGTGTTTCGCAAATCGATTGGTGTCTTATAGTCGCAGGAGTACATCTACTGGGTGCGAAAATGCAACAACAATGCAGACATCCAGCGTGGAGTTGTAAATTATTGACTCCCGCCTGGAATACACGACCCAGCAGTGTTGCTCCGTACTGACTGGTTCATCAAAATCCAAACGGGTACCCCTTTGCTAACGGTACCTGAGATTAACGGTCGGGTACCCGGGTACCCGGTACACCCCTTTGACCCCTATAAATAGCCATAGAATATGTTCACTGCTGGACATTCCATGAGCGAATTGGTAAGCACTGGTACGGCCATGGCTGTACCTGCCGTACCAGTGGCGCCCGGCCCTGCAGTAGTACCATATCCCGGTGTTCTCTTGTCTTCAAGTTGCTTAGTAGCCGCACTGCTATGGTTAGCAGTACTATGGTCCACACCGATAGTTGACAGGACATTGCGGATACTTTGGGTAGAGAACTTTTCGTTGAACTTCAAAGTCAATATCTTCAGACTTGGATCTAGTAAATGTTGGTAATGTTAGTATTACATCTTTGTCCTGTTGTTATTCAGTTCTCTTGTGTATCAGTCTACTCGTACTCGTATAGTGACCAGTGACCAGTGTTGTTCTTTACCTGCTCTCATCCTACACATAGCTCTACATTGGCCAGCGGATCAATGCAAGGCTATTGAAGCAGTCACAGCCGTTCAACAACGTCAGTCTCTCTCCTGCCTGGTCACTGCCACTGGCCTGGCTTCTCTACGAACGCCTGGCCATACTAATGAACTTTGTAATTATAGGTTTGGTGGATAATGTCCTGAACAGTGGATCAGCATGGGCAATGGCCTATCTCCTGGAGTGATTACAGCCAATGGCGTTAGCACTGCTACAGACAGAGATATAAGTACTATTTTGATTTACTTTGAGTATGTTCGTATCAGAGAAATGGTGGTAAGACACATCAGTGATGAAATGGCAGTACATTCATGTCTGCCCACATGATGCTCTCTAAGCTGACACGGTCTCCGGGAGAAGAGCTCTCCTCAGTCTCTCGCCCGATCATCACCATCGCCATTGCCATTATCACCAGTATGCCTTCTAGCAAAACAATTGTTGTGGCTGACCTTGCCATCATGTTCAAGTAATTCTAACTGTATACCTAACAGTCCCGAGTTTGAAGTCCAAGTGTTCTAGCTGAGCTTGTCAGTTGACTCTTGGCCATTTTCATACCAAGCTGCTTCTCAGAGTCCGGCCAGGCTCTACCATTATTCTGTTGAGGCGATGAAACTGAAATTTAATGATTACACTAGATGTGGCTGCACCCTGTTGCTGTGGCTGTGCATGTGGCAGCAATCCACTTTCTATTAGTATTAGGAACTAGCGACACAAGACTTAGTATCGAAATACATAGCAACTAGGCAAGTAGCAACTAAGCAACTAGCAACTAGGCAACTAGCAACTAAGCACAGACTGTGTTTCGGATTTTGAATGGAGGTTTTTCTCATTTGCAGAGTGATTTCAATCATTTTATTTTCTATTTTTTCATTGGTTTGACACAAATTCTACTGAGCTTAATTGGCAAATACTTCATGACTCATTTAAAAAGACAGTATTCTGTTGACTTGGCTGTTGACTTGGCTTGACACTGTTGACAGATGCGTCGACTCTGCTCCTGTCTAACAGGTTCAGGGAAGATGCGAGCTGTGTTTATTATTCTGTTGACTGCCCTAGTAAAACTTGAGAAGCAATGTAACAGATTCACTGTTACTACTAACACTAGGAATAGGATACACTTATCACCTGCTATTATCACGCTGCTGCTGTTAGGTGTTATGTCCATCATTGCTTGTTCATGTATATAAGAATGCATTATGGCAAGGATCATTGCTGATTCCAAGAATGACTACTGAAGTTAGTTGGACTGTTACACTGGTAGCAAGAGGATGGTTTTTCTTTTCGTCATGTTCGGGCTATGCGCAGTGGCCGCATTAGTCGCCTACGGTATATTCGAGATTCAGAAGCGTCTGAATCACCTTATCGCACTCGGTCAGTGCGATGGATCAGATCAAACGCCAAGACGTGCTCAAGCTCCCAGCGGAGAGAGGCCACGCATGCGCCATGTTAAGTCTCCGCCTGTGTTTCGTGGAGATACAAGAGAGTTCAAGGAGTGGGCCTTCGCCATCGAACTCGCCATGAAGTCCCTGCAGCTGGACAACGCGGAGGAGCGCTTGAGCTACGCGGCGAGTTTTCTGGAGGGCAACGCTCGTCTTTGGTTTATCGCCTCTCAGGAGGCAAACACGCTGTTTTCCGACTGGCCAGACCTGAAGAGCAAGCTGGGAGAAGTGTACGGCCCGGTTTATGACAGGGAACAGGCGCGCATCGACTTATTCGCTCTTCACCAAGATGAGACTCTTGACGAATACATCAACAAATTTTCGCGGCTTAGCTTACAAGTTCCCGAGCTTGATGACCACTCCAGAGCTATCTTGTTCACGCGTGGGCTGGCTCAGGGCCTAAGCGGTGAGGTACTTAGGGAGCATCCGCAACATTTGGCCCAAGCCATACGAGCTGCGGTCGCAGCAGACCAGTCGATGCGGCTAGCCCAAGCAAGCTACGCCAAGGCAGTGCGCGCACCAGGGCATCAGAGGCGCCAGCCTGGACCCTGGTCAAGCCAACCAACACCATCCGGTGGGAGAGAAACCAGGGAGCCAGAGGGTCGTTCAAGGCTGTGTTTCACCTGCAGGAAACCCGGCCATATTGCCAGATTCTGTCCAGAAGGAGGGAGGAACGCCACAAGCAAGCCTTCTTTAAACGATGGACGCCAGTAAGGAAGGGAGTGCGACTACTGGCGAACACGAGAGCACCCAGGAATAGGCCACGAATCAAAGTTCAGAACAAATTCAGCCCCTTAGCAAATGAGGAACCACGCCTCGAGGAGACCGAAATTCAAGCCTCGCCTGTCAAGCATTCGTCACCTGATACTGTTGGCCGGCCTAATGAAGTAACCGCCAGCACAGGGAGCATTTCCGCCGACAACGAACACGACCTAATGCGCGTCCAGGGCAAGATAAATGGACGTCGCGTTACCATGCTACTGGATTCTGGGTCAACCCACGACTTCATTTCAACTGACCTTGTCAAGAAGCACAACATCTCCACAACAACTGGTAGCGACGTCCTGAACTTCACACTTGCTGATGGATCGGTCCGCTCACAGCCTATTACGAAAACGGACAGCTTGAAGACCGTAGTCGGCGACTTTAGCGAGCACCAACAGTTCCTAGTATTCCCTATGACGCGGTATGACGTGATCCTCGGCAAACCATGGCTGACCCGGACGAACCCACAGATCAATTTTCGTACCAATGAAATCAAGCTGGAGGGTGGATCCATCATCTGTCAACCGAGTGAAAGTGATGGCACGCACAAATCCAACCCACCGATCGAGACGTTCCTCATCTCAGGGAAGCAGGCTAGGCATGCAATGAGAGGTGGCGCAGAAGGAATCCTAGCGTATGTGACAGCAGATCCGGACGAGCCACAGACGGTGGATAGTCCGGGTAGGGAGGATCAGAAGGATTTCAAGGACCTGCTGAAGGAGTTCGGGGACGTCTTTCCCCATGAGCTTCCAAACAAGCTGCCACCCAGAAGAGGCGCAGATCACGAGATAAAAACGGAAGAAGGAGCTAAACCGCCATCTCGTGCAGCATATCGTTTACCAAAACCAGAGATGGATGAGCTTCAAGCTCAGCTCACCGAGCTGCTCCGTAGAGGATTCATCCAGCCCAGCAAATCCCCATACGGAGCCCCTGTGTTCTTCGTAAAGAAGGCGGATGGAACACTTCGAATGGTATGCGACTGGCGTGAGCTAAACCGCATAACCATTAAGAACAAGGCATGCCTACCGAATATTGACGACCTTTTTGATACCGTCCAAGGCAGTGCGTATTTCACCAAGCTAGATCTGAGGTCCGGTTACAATCAGATTCGAATAGAAGAAACAGATATTCCGAAGACAGCAATAAATACCCCATTCGGTCACTTTCAGTTCACAGTGATGGGTTTCGGCCTAACAAATGCCTCGGCAACATTCCAAACCTTGATGAACAGTGTCCTCCAGCCATACCTGCGTAAATTCGTTGTGGTGTTTCTAGACGATATCCTCATATTCAGCAAATCATGGGAGGAGCACCTCGATCATGTCAGAACCATCTTAAACGCCCTCAGGAGGAATGAGCTATATTGCAAACCGTCTAAATGTGAATTCGGCCGGACAGACGTTCTGTTTCTTGGGCACCGGATAGACGGCCAATGCATTTCTCCAGATCCAGAGAAGATCAAGGCCGTGCATAACTGGCCTGTCCCGACGACGGTCACGCACGTAAGACAGTTTCTGGGATTCGCTAATTACTTTCGAAGGTTCATTAACCATTTCTCGGCCATCTCCAAACCCCTGGAGGAACTGACAGGGAAACATGTGCGCTTCGAGTGGAATCAGACTCGACAGGAGGCATTTGAGCGATTGAAGTCTGCTCTGCTGGATGCACCAGTGTTGCGACTAGCAAACGTCAGTCAGGATTTCCGCGTTGAGACTGACGCAAGTGACTTTGCTGTGGCAGGAGTCTTAACGCAGCAAGCAGAGGACCAGTCCTGGCATCCTGTGGCTTACGTGAGCCGAAAGCTGTCTTCTGCCGAACGGAATTACACGGCCGCCGAGCGAGAAACTTTGGCTGTAGTGTACGCCCTGCAGTGCTGGCGAGTCTACCTATTTCGCCACTTTCAACTCTACACCGACAACATGGGAGTTGTCTACCTCAGGACCAAACCAAACTTAACCAAGAGAGAGGCTCGATGGATTGAATTCCTGGCCGACTATGACTACACGGTACATCACAAGCCAGGGAAGTGTAACATAGCAGACCCGTTGTCACGTCGACCAGACTTGGAACTGAATGGAATCGAGTTCTCTCTGGATGTGAATCAAGGAATTGCGAATCAGATCTCAGCAGGGTATGATAGTGACCCAGAGCTTTCGCCAGTAATCAAGCGCTTGATGGCTTGCAGCGAAGACGCCATGCATGAGCGATACGTCTGGAACAGTGTGGACCGGCGGCTGTACCTAGTAACATCGGGCGATGCTCGCCTCTGCATTCCTCGCGGTCCGGTACGGCTGCAACTGCTCAAACAGAATCATGATTGCCTGACGGCCGGCCATCCGGGGAGAGACAGGACCTACCTGAAGCTGAGCAGATACTTCTATTGGCCAGGCATGAGAAGTACTGTGAAGGACTTCGTTAAATCTTGCGACCGGTGCCAACGCGTAAAGGGTAGCCAGACCAAGGCAGGACTGTTGCAGTCCCTTCCAGTCCCCGAACAGCCCTGGACAGACATCAGCATGGATTTCATCATGGCACTGCCGCTGACCTGCCGAGGACATAGCGCCATTCTAACCTTTGTGGACCGTCTGACGAAGTATGTGCACCTGATCCCGACGACTGTTCATGTTGACTCTAAGGAGGCAGCCCGATTGTACGTGGATCATGTGTTTGCTGCCCATGGCTTGAGCAAAACGATAGTTTGTGATCGAGATCCGCGATTCACGTCGGCGTTCTTCAAGGAGGTTTTCAGTATTCTTGGCGTGGAGCTAAAAATGAGCACGGCCAACCACCCGCAGACCGATGGCATGACTGAGCGTGTGAACCGTGTCATTGCATGAGGATACGCTAAGAGCTTTCGTCAACCATAGGCAAAACAATTGGGATGAACTCCTATCGCTATGTGAGTTTGCGATCAACAATGCCGATCAAGCGTCAACAGGTAACACGCCATTTTTCCTCAACCATGGATGCCATCCAGTTACTCCCTCGAGCTTATTGACGAAGCAGAAAGCTGGAGCTGGCATGGACACGAATGGTCCGCTGTCATGGCTGGATGGCCGCGTAGAGGCACTACGTGAGGCACAGGATGCCATCGTGGCGGCGCAGGCCCGGCAGTCATTGTATGCGGATCGAGGACGGGTGGAGGACGCCCTGAAGGAGGGGGATGAGGTGTTGGTCTTCAGGGACTTCCTGCTGACGCCCGAGGAACGAGACAGGCCTTCACACAAATTAAGGCTCAAGTGGTATGGGCCGTTCAAGGTGCAGAAGAAAGTGGCCCCGAATGCGTACAGATTAGCTCTTCCAAGAATCATTCGGGCCCATCCAGTGTTCAATATTGCTGCCCTCAAGCTGTACCATGGCAATGAGATACCGGGTCGTACTCAGCCGGCACCTCCACCCCTAACCGATGCGGATGGCCATACGCGGTACATTGTCGAAAAGGTGTTGTCGCACAAGAAGAGAGGACGGCGCACGCAGTACCTAGTGAAATGGAAGGGCTACCGAGATGCCACCTGGGAGCCGGAGGAATACTTGATGGATGAAGCAGGAAACGCTATTATTCCGCTGAAAACCTACCTGGACCGTTTTTCATAAAATTGCTATTTAATTGGCAGCCACAGTTGTATTGCTAGTTTCTACGTGTTGCAATAGAAATGTAGCATTCTGCATGATTAAGGATAGTGCTTCCCTGCCAGCCAGGCGTTATTTGCAGAGGACATGCACTGGATCTTGAGTTCATCAGTGTTGTTTTTGG